TTAGCGAACGCGGCCCGAGCCTTGCAGATTCGTGCATTCACCTCTTCTGTCACACTGCAATCAGAATTAATACAACTTCCAAGGTACGTAAAACGCTCCACAACTTCCAGTGCCTCTCCCTGGATCGTAAGTGGCGTGTTCAGTGACTGCACGTCCACAAGCATGACCTTACACTTTGTGGGTGCAAAATGCGTACCAAAGGACGGGATGACTTTGGTCAGTTCATCCCAGAATACTTACGCCTTCTCCTCTTCGAACATGAGAACGATGTCGTCTGCATATTCCAGATCGACAAGGTTTTCTTCACTGGCTATTTGAACACCAGGGTTTTGGAGACCCTCCAGCGTTCGTCTCATTATTTCATCGATCACAAAGTTAAAAAGGAATGGAGAGAGTGGGCATCCCTGACGGACACCGTGCGTGGATAGCAGCACTGTAGGTGAACTGTTAAGTGGGGGGTTGGGGAGGGAGCTATGCGTTGAAGGCAATAGCTTGGATGCATGGGCACCATTGAGGGCGCGACTGGGCCATGTCTGACAATGTCTCCAACCATTGATATGGCCCGTCTCGGTGTCCCCGTCCAGGAAGACGGCAATGACCAACGCAGCTGAGTTTGCTGGTAATGGCTTTTATAATTCGCTACCAAGTCATTGTTTGACTGCCTCTGGCTCTCTTCCACCCTTTGGGCTCCATACTTCATTTATCGACCAAGCTCTGAGCCAGGTAAGAATTTCAAACGTTTCATTTGATGAGGCCACCAACCCGAGCACAACTTACTACCAGCCCCAACCCATTCATGTGTTCGCACTTACTCAAACCCACCTGCCCGACCCGTACGTTTACTCATTCACCCGCTCATCCATACCCTCCCTATCAATCCTCAATAAGATAATATTGTGCCGAATTAGTGCAACTTACGGTTCGCTTGCACAAGGGGGAAAAAGAGGCTTCAGTTCAAGCGATCCACTAGTTCTGATTGCTATTTTTGTTAGACTGCTACATTCCTACACCACCTCATCTCTGTTTTATTTATCCTCCCTTTTTTGTCAGTCGACAAATGATGACCGATGTAGAACGACTGGAATATATGCAGAATGAGAAAAACAACTCAAGTACGTTAATATTTCTGACCATCACCGAATACATTACTTTCAGGCACACGAAAGGATCCGGCAGCCCTCTCTCTCCGTGAGTTCATTTTTGAAGATTGGCTCTGTATTCTAGTGTTGCCAAATGCACATCCTCGACCATCAGCCGATTGCTTGTAGGAATAGCATCCTAAAGATTGCTCTATGTATATTTCCTTTTTCATTTACTTATTTTCCGAGCCCGAGATAGCTCAGTGGTTAAGACACCAGCTTATGGACTGGACGGTCCGTGGTCAAACCCAAACTCAGAATCTCAGTTTCTCCTTGTTAGACCTGGATGACCTAACAGTATCTCAACCTTCGCGCTTCTTTCGGGGGGAATGGCAGTTACACACCGAAGGGTTGTCACGGCTGAACTATTACTATTAGCATTAATATTATATTTTCTTATTTTCCTTTCACAGCCAGATTGTTGTACGTCTTTCAATGTCATCTGCTGGATGCACATTCCGATCGCTGAACGGTAGGCCCTAACGACGAAGGAATTGTCTAGTATGATGGTGCGAAAACTGAGTGGTGATATGTTATCTAATTGGCTGCTTTATATAGCAGGCTAAGTTGCCTTTTTTCAATCGAAATTTCGTCCTCTCACCGAGGCCAATCCACGCTAAAAATCCTGGTAGCTGTTTCATCCTTATTCGAAATCATGAGCAGTGCGGATCTCAGGAGGTTTCACAGTCGCGACCTTCCGGTCAATGGTTAAACACTTAACCGTTCGAACACCGGTGTGATTAGCTCCCACTTAGGCAGGATATATCGTGTTTTTTTCAACATTTTCTCTGTGTATAGAACATCAGATTAAGATTCTTCACTATACTTGATAAACAACTCCGTTTTTCCATTCTATGTCCTCTCCTTTCCTAAAAGAAACGCAACGAGAAAAGCGCAGAACATTCATTCTGAACTATCTATCTGAAAAACGCATTGTACCCTCTGTCAGTGCTCTTCGTCAGGTGATCTGGGATCACGAGGCTGCTGCAGGACTCACAGTCAAAATGGATCACAAGTCGTTGCACCGCATTATTGAGGAGTTGCTCAAATCCAAATTGCTTGTCATACATGTGGTCAAGTCTATTCAGGGAGAGGTTAGTTTTTAATTCCTGCGCATCTATAGCTGCCAAGTGGCCTGTTTGCTTCCAAATGCTGCACCATTTCTCTTAGCTTTGGACTCTCTTTCGGGATTTATTGACATCGCTTGCGTGTGACTAGAGCGTAGATTGTGCTAGTATCGACATCTCCACATCGGCTGCGTCATAAGTAGGAACAGTCTTAATGAAGTTCAAATTGTTACGCCACAAATATCTGAATGAGTGCTTCCCCTTTGTCCCTCTTTTGTTCTAGTAAAGTGTCTGACACCACTTCTTAAGATCACAGCACATCGATGTGGTGGAGTTCGCGCATTTAACTTCTAATGATTCTGGTGATCCCCGTAATCATTGTTTGGTCCAAATTTCGAACTTGTCAACCAGAATGAAAGCTATTAGGTTGATGGGAGTAACAGTGCACATATATGGGCAAAGGAAAACCTGCCACTAAAACAGACGACGTTGTGACTTTGATTGTAGAGCATTTGAAGTTCCATGTAGCATTTGGCTACAAGAGGGTTGGGGGTTAGCACTGGCAAGTTGGAGAATCGACTGTCATACGATATCCTTTGACTCACTACAACGTATACGCTTTTCAGTATCATCACTTTGGCAATTTGTTCACTTTTCTTCCGCGCTGATGAGCAGCGTTATGATGCTTTCATCCATGGGCACTGAAGTAAGTGTGCTGTTTTCTCACTCCAGTTGCGTTTTGGCTTTTCAGTATCATTACTTTGGCAATTTGTCCACTTTTTTCCGCGCTAATGAGCAGCGTTACGATGTTTTCATCCATGGGCACTGAAGTAATTGTGCTGTTTTCTCACTCCAGTTGCGTTTTCTGTGCCATCCGGACATTCGCAAGGACGACCCCCTGGTTGTCAGTGCCGTCGAGGCGCATAATCTGGAACTGCTGAAGAAGCGCCCGAGGTTGTCTGATGTGCGGACAGGTGATCAGATATTGCTCAATCAAGACTTCAAAAAGTTAACGGAAAAGGTGAGCTTTAGCAGCAAAAAGCGAGCAAATTCCTAAACGATATTTTAGTAAATCCACAACGAGCAGGTCGATTGTTCCTGGGTTGTCGCGTCCTATTTTCACCATGCTCTGTTATGTGACATGATCACCTGACCTGATCACGGTTCTATGAGGGTCAAACCATGTCAAAAACAGTCAACGGCAATACTAAGGCTTTGGTCACCGGATCCCATTGTTGGTTGCTTCGTTTTGGAATAGCGTTTGCTATCTTAGTGCTGTCATAACAGCATCTCCACTGACACCTTCTGAATGATACCTTAATAACTATGCTTTCTAGGGGACTAGCTCTGTTATTCTGAAACTGAGCAGGCTTCTGCTCTCCTAATTGACAGATATCCGCACATTATAACTGAGCAGTATGGATTGCTTCTTGATTCTTAGCAACCTCAGAGCTAAAACACGGGTTCGGCTGCTGTATTCGGCTAGTCATGGGGATCAAAATGTTGGATGAGTATGTCATGATATGTTCTCCTGAATGTTGACCACACTGACGTATTTCGCACAGTCACACCGTTTTAGAATGTGTTTATTCGGGACTGCTGTTTCATCTAAGTCGAATCCATGCTCTGCATACTGTTTTTCTGTGTACACAGAACCGGTGAACTAGAAGCCTCACTCGATGTTCGTTGATGTGTGGTTTAGAGCTACACTGTGCTCTTCTCTCTAAAACAGGACACTGTAAAGTCAAGGACAACGTTCCCAGCTGTGATTCACTGTGACGCTCCCTAGGTTAGGCCAATCAAGCCTCTCTCTGCAGTTTTCGACTTAGGTTATCACTGCATATGACTGAACGGCATCCACAGAGGTGTTTTGTAGCACCACTCGGAATATGTGAGAGGTGTTTGCTCGAGGTGTTTTGAGTGGCATCGAGATACTTAATGTTATGCTTTGTTTCATACAATTTTCCTCTCTTGTTATTGTTTCAGGCTATGCAACCCGTCACTGTGTTGGCAAACCTTTGCCCTCGACTGCGACGCCGATTACTTTTGCATGAGTATTTGTTTTATGTACTGTATGTTTTACCCCGTGATATGGAGCCTCTAGTTCCATCGGTGAGTCACTGAAGCTTGATTTGGACACTTTTTGATGGAAACTGTTCATTGTCCCTCTTACCGTGCATCTTTTGTAGCACTGAAACCGCACGAAAAGTTGACTGCATTTATGGATATCATAAACGCGGGCAAGCTGCGCTTCACTGCTGACCTAACGGGGGGCGATGGTGTACCTTGTACATTATCACCGTGTCATAGGAAACTTTCGTGCGAGTAATACGCCCCTCCTACTGAAGAAGTGATCTTAATAGTTTTGGTTTACTTTACAATGAATATCCACTATGCTAACGTTTTCCATGGTATTCTGGTAGGTGAACGGTACCTCAATTGTATTTCGCCTTCACTTACCTAAATTTTCTGATTTTTTTTCGGGCATCGCACTCAGATGATACGGATCGTCCTTAGAGTTTCTGTGAGATGGCTCAGTGATTAGGGAACGAATTTACTGATCGGAAGGTTCGTGGTTCGAACCCGACCTCTGCATCTCGACTTTTCCTATCTAGGCTTGGGCAACCTGGCAGTATCCCAGCCCTCGTGCCTCCTTCGGGTGGCATGGCAACTGGGCACCGAAAGGATGTTACAGCTGAACGATTACGATCCCAACTATCACACCGGTTGTTGTCAGTTACTGTTTTGCGGGTGACATTGATCGCACCTGGAGGCGATTTCGTGAACAGTTTTCGGCCTATTTTGTTGTTTTCGTTGTCGATCCGTATTCTATTTCAGATAAGTTGTATTGCGGAGCAAGACGTGGTTGAAGTATTTGATTGTAAACACTACCTTCAGATTTATTTTGTCCTTTTATGAGTGGACGTATGAGCTTGAACGTTGTAGTCGTCTGATGACGATTAGATGTGTTTCTGTGGGTAATTTGTGCAACACTGTCAAATAAACCGATGTCGTTGGCATATAGTTAATGAGTTCTAGGAGTGGTGGCGGTCCTGAACACTGCTCCCATAGATTTGACCCTCGGATTACCTATAGCAAAATGACAAGACTTACTGAACTATCGATCAGTTGATTCACGCTTTGTCATACTTGCTGTCCCTTTACTGCGCGTTCGTTTTCTGATTTTTCCAGTCCAGCTCGACTCCGGCCGTTTACCACAAGGAATACAGTTGGCGCCGCTACGTTGGACCCCTTAGTCCACCGGATGGTGAGTACGCGGTAGCGTGTATGACGACAAGTAACCGACCATAGTGCGCGCTTCGCGCGTTCCTTCGTTTTTGTGCTGCTCATATTCATGGAATCTGTTATAATTGACATATGGACTGGAGCTTTTGGAATACAAAAGAAACCCAACCAAACAGGTCCGTACGGGGATATCCTTTAGTCTTCAGGTAGCTCTTTTACTGACGATTTCAGGCTCTTCGGTTGGCCCCAAGTCCAGGTATTTCTACCATTTGCAAGGTGGTTGCTCCCCGGAAATGTGAGCTTCCTGTTCATTTTGATGTGGATTTCTATGACACTCAAAAGCCCCACTAGGAACCACCCGCGTGAACGTTAAAAAGGGCTCTGATTGGGAACAAACCACCCAGAAATACCGTGGTTTTTAGCAGGAGGCATGAGGGGACGAATCTTATGTGAAACGGTAAAGAAAGCATGCCACTGTTATCCGCTGGTCCCAAACCGATTAATAAAGATTCATTTTTGTTTGCAACTACAGTACTGCTTCTACATGAGGACATCCATAAGCATAACTAAATTGTCTCCGCTTCAACGGATGTATTAGTTTGAGAGAACCGAGAATTGTGAGTCATCTCTTGCCTCTTCTGCATCCAGTTAAAGAGAAGCTCGGATGTTTTCAGTGCACATGACGGATCGCGATGTAATCATTTCCACCGACTGCAAGGTATGTTCAAGCGCTCATTAGACTTGGATGTTTCGATCCGAGGCGTACTGATACATCAGTAAGATGTTTATAAACTTGTCTTTGGAGCTTGTCTTTTAAGTCGAGAGATTAGTTCGTCCTGGTTAGCTAAACCCAAACAAGAATGAACAAGGAAAGATGTACATCAGATGAGAACACTGTCGCATTCATAAAAGGGAACAGCTTAACTGGATAATTTGGGATGCCTTTGTTTATTCAAATCAACAGTCAGCCCACTAGCTTGTGACGTTTAGCCATGGATAATGGCTTCATCAGTTCTGGGATCAGAGAGTGATTTTGTCCCAGTAATGATAAAAGGGCATTGTTTGATGACCGAAACCTACGCAGTAGCCTCATATCTGTCATCGCAAGGTTGCAAGTACTCTTAGGTTGCACATCTGTCGAAAGCATTCTCTTTTGTGAGTCAGACCTTATTCCTATTGGTCTGTGGAAATGTTTTACACATTATTTAAACTTTCGCAAACTAACAGCTGCCGGCCAATGACAGGTTCCCTAGTTTTGAGTGTTTCTATTGCACAGCCTAGTAAGACTAGCAAATGTCGTTTACCAGGTTAGAGGGCTGATGACCACTCTCATCGACGGTCCTTATGTAGCTTGCACGCCGAAACTATTCCACTTGCTCCAAGCAGGCACATTGAATTTTCAGTCTCTGTCTCTCCATTCAGCGACACTCTCAACTTTGCTTCTATGTTAGTTCTTAGTTCTTACGTTTTGTCCGTGGATTCCAACTCAGGAAGGCGTTTACTCAAAGGAACGGCACACGATGGTGGTGAGGTGAATGCGTGTCAGCTGATTTAGCTGGTCTGGTGCTGAAATCAGCCTTACATGCCGATAATAATGACTGATGTAAGCAATGGAGATTTTGCCGTGCAATTGAAGTTGCTCTGTCAAAAAACTCCGGAAAGAGCCTAACCGATTATGTTTATTGCGACTGGGATGTCATGAACATCACAACTTCACGTTCTCTTTAGCCCAAGGTGTTTGAACGTTCGGGCTACTGAAGCTCCCGTCACAAATAGATTAATCCTCATTGCGCCATCGATAGCCTTCCAGTACCTTGGCGATTAGGTTGTGCGCCCATTTGACTCCGATCTTGTGGTTGTTCCGGACGAGAATTTGGTGCACAAATATGAGTTCAGGCGACTAGTCAGGATGACCACCAGTCAGGAACATGTACGCTTAGTTCAGTGCGCCAGAGCCTACTGCTAGTGTCACACGCTCACTTTTGAGACAGCCTGGTAGCTTGGCGAATCCCGAGGTACTTTTCTACGTAATGGGTAGTCGTTCTGTTGCTGTTGAGATCCAATCCATCCTCATTAGTTGAACGCTAAGAGTGCAGTGCTGGCTATCAGGATTACTAGAGGAGTAATAGGTCTATTAGTTTTGCTTCATTCCCGTCGAATTCAGCACTTCAATGTGATCCTCTTTGGTTTATCCAGTACAGTTTCCATTTCACGTTCTACTTCACACACTATCATCTCTTAGGCATGAAACTCGGATGGTTCTCACTGAATGATCTGCTGCGCGCAATGCCTTTCGGATTGTACTTACATTTAATCTGTGGAGCCTCGCTGCCGAAAATCATGTGTCGTTGGCTAGGCTTGAAAAAATATCTGGGGAAAATTTCTGCTCAGGAGCTTCAAGAACTGGATGGCCAGTTGATGCTCGAACGTGTCCAGGATGTCCCCCTGGCAGAGTTATTCCTCTTTCCTCTGGAAAGTGTTCAGCCTCCTGGAGGTAGATTTGGTCGAGTTTCTTCATGGCTATTCTCAATCACTCGCGTCCGATCGATGTTAAATTTGTTGGAAGAAATGACTATTCACAATCTAGTCTCACTCTTTGATCAGAAAACACCTACGGATCCGGCTAACGTGAGTCACTTTCGTCTGTAATTCGGAGGTTTTATTTTGCTCTTCCAAGAGCCTTTCCGATTTACAAGTGCCTTCAAGAAGATAGTAGTCCATTTTATCTCACATTTTTGGATAGCCATACCTTCTCGCCCCAGGAATGGCCTCTCAGGAGACAAATATTTGCATGACGCGAGGAAAAGGGACACCATAGTTTAAAAACCAAATAGTTCGATTTAAAATTGCTAGTATAGTGGCTGGTAGCTGGCTTATCCTCACGCAAGGAGTAGCTAAGGTGAAGCAAGTTAGATGATCATCACCAGAGACAGCAACGTTAGTTTTGACTAATGCATCGGTGATCTACAAACACAACAAAAACAGTCGTCCAGCTGTGAAACCCTTTCGGTGCCCAGCTGCCGTGCAACCTGGACGATGCCAGAAGGTGATATTGTCAGGTTCCCCAAGCCTAGACAAGTGCAGTCGAAATACCGCGTTCGGGTCCGAACCACGGACCCATCGGTCAGTAACTTGACGCCTTAAACACCGAGCTATCTTGAGCTCCGTACGACAGCAAAATTATTCATTTATATTTAATTCCTTAAAATGAAAAAAGTGTTGATAGTTAAGGCTCATTGGGCTAGTCCACCGTCATCATTCTGAGGTTCCTATATCTAAAAAGGTTCAGCCAGACAGTCTGCAAAGACTGATGATAGTGTGGGGGAACTTCGTAATTTCCAAATGAGTTGTTGTCCTCAAGTGAAGCTGTTCTATGCTGAAAAGCCACGAACCGCTGTACACCTCTTTCATCCCCATAGGGAATCATCAGTGGTGCGCATCTCACAAACCCTCATTTAGGCGTCATGGAACCGCGACCTCCCGAAGTCAGATAATATATAACCCCACTCATCACTCAGTCATGGGAACACATCACGTGGTCAGCTACTGATTGCCTCCTGTCTTAGTGCAAGAAAATACTACTGATCAGCCGCTCCTGGCCGAAGGTCATTGTCGCGTGTTCGATACTCCTTAGAGTCTTTGAAGATTAAAATAATGACGTCTGCGTGCTCAAGACCGACAAGTTGCTCACCGGCAGGGATTTGAACACAGGAGTTCTGCGGACTGTCCATTGTTCGCCTCATTATTTCATTAAACAAAAATGGAGAAAGTGGGCATCCTTGCCGGACACTAATTCTAGTATGGAAACCTTCAGATAGCTCACGATACACTTATACGTCTCAAAGTATATAAACATAAGGACCGGATTCTGTGGGAGTGGGCGAGATGGTCCAAGTGGTTAGAGCTTGAATTTACTCAAGGTCCGTGGTTCGAACCCGACCTCTGCCTCTCGACTTCCTTCCCCCAGACAGTCTGCAAAGACTGATGATAGTGTGGGGGAACTTCGTAATTTCCAAATGAGTTGTTGTCCTCAAGTGAAGCTGTTCTATGCTGAAAAGCCACGAACCGCTGTACACCTCTTTCATCCCCATAGGGAATCATCAGTGGTGCGCATCTCACAAACCCTCATTTAGGCGTCATGGAACCGCGACCTCCCGAAGTCAGATAATATATAACCCCACTCATCACTCAGTCATGGGAACACATCACGTGGTCAGCTACTGATTGCCTCCTGTCTTAGTGCAAGAAAATACTACTGATCAGCCGCTCCTGGCCGAAGGTCATTGTCGCGTGTTCGATACTCCTTAGAGTCTTTGAAGATTAAAATAATGACGTCTGCGTGCTCAAGACCGACAAGTTGCTCACCGGCAGGGATTTGAACACAGGAGTTCTGCGGACTGTCCATTGTTCGCCTCATTATTTCATTAAACAAAAATGGAGAAAGTGGGCATCCTTGCCGGACACTAATTCTAGTATGGAAACCTTCAGATAGCTCACGATACACTTATACGTCTCAAAGTATATAAACATAAGGACCGGATTCTGTGGGAGTGGGCGAGATGGTCCAAGTGGTTAGAGCTTGAATTTACTCAAGGTCCGTGGTTCGAACCCGACCTCTGCCTCTCGACTTCCCCGGTCTAGGATTGGGCAACCTGGCAGTATCCCAGCCCTCGTGCAACCTTCGGGTGGCGTGGCAGCTAGGCATCGAGAGGGTGCTACAGCTGAACCAGATTCTGTACACAAACTTCGGGGCATCGCCCTTTGAAGAAATATAATCAGAAGCACTGATCGATCGACAGAATTCAACTCACCCTGAAGTCAAGGAACACTAAGATGGTTCTTCTGTAAATATGGTGTTTGATATTACACCTGACTGACTGGTCCGCGCGGCCTGTATCCGGTTGAAATTCTGCTTGGTGCTCACGGGACAATGTTTCCTGTACCGACGTAAGGCGACACCAATAAGGCACCAATTAGCCCCTTGTGGTTAGTACACTCATTGTTGGTACTATCTTTGAAGATATGCACTACTACCGGCTGACCCCAGTTGCCTGGGACGGTTTCGTTTTCCCAGATAGATGTAAGTTGGCCTGACAGTCACTTACTGAGGAATTCATCACTGTCCTTGAATTGCGGATTTGGCCGGTCATCTAGACCAGGGGCAGGATAACGCTTGAATAGGATATGTACTCGTACATTTCACTAACTTTGAGAAACATGAGGTACTTAGGGTGCTTCATAGCTGATAGATTGCTGATCAGACAATCCTCCTTAGTGGTATCCCAGAGTGAAGGTAGTTGGATCTTGCGTTTGGGCTTTTTGGAACGTAACATCTACTCAAACGGTTTCCTGTTTTCTTCAAAAGACCCGGATTCTTCGGTCAAACAAAGCAAAGTTTTACTAGCCGTCGACCGCGAATTCCAGGTGGCTGTCTATCTTCATTTCGCTTTTTACAGGGCCTAGACGAACACTTTAGTCTCTCTTCGGGCTGACCGTCCACTTGTTTTGGTCATAGTAGTCACTTCTGTTGTGAGTTACACCTTGTTCTATGCGTCCAAGAGACCAACAAAAGTTAGTGTTATTACCAGATTGCCCAACTCCGTCACGAAAGAAATTATGGTGGATGAACACTACCACATGCGCAACGCCTGGGGCTGATCATTGGTGGCACCATATATCTTACGTGGAAAGTGAAATCTCAACGGCCTCTGGGTCGAGCCAAATGAATGAATGGGGCGAGATGGCTCAGCGGTTAGAGCGCGAATTCACTGACCGGAAGGTCCGTGGTTCAAACCCGACCTCTTCCTCTCGACTTCCCCTGTCCAGGCTTGGACAACCTGGCAGTATCCTCTCCTTCGTGCTTCCTTCGAGTGGCATGGCAGCTAGACACCGAAAGGGCGTTGCAGCTGAACAATTCTCTTTTATTATCAAATGAACTGTAATAATGACTATCAATGTAATTAAGACCAGTGCTAAAAACAATCGCTTGACTATTTCGTCAACTCTGTGAGGATCACCCTAGGTTTTGCTTCAGTCTCTTTTGCTGCTCACTGAATCAGTTTCACCCGCTACAGGCATTTCATTCAACTTTATAGACCTTTTTGATTGTGTTCAATTTTATGGCGGACCAGAAGGATATGGCGAGACCTATGAAAGACACTTTCTGTTCACTACCCACAGCTCGAGTAAGTGAACTTGAAATTGTGACTCATCGGTCGCGTGGGAGTCGCAACCAGTCCTATAGGGGGATTCAAGTAGCGTATACCCCCGAACAAACCAGGTTGGTATGTTCACCTCAGACTGACGTATCATTTTTGTTGGCGACCGGCCAAACACCAATGGGAAATGCTTTCACCAGGACTAATCAAGTCTATCAACGTGGGTTACTTGATTCACATCCGAAATAACGATCACTTCAAGGGCATGCATATGTAGATGTGACCTTTTATCATTATTTTTGAAGTCATACCCGGGACATTCTGATTCGTCACGTTTGGAAGAAATACCTGCCTCAAGGACTCCATTCTGTTGTTTACTAAGTGTGCCTTCAGTATATGCCGGACAAGTACACATGTCAGGATCCACCCTTTGTACTTTTTTGGCGACCTTGCAACGGTTAGTCAGTAAATGAAACACACCACACCGTATCCGACAGTAATTCTGTGGCAAGAGTTCGTAGTTGTTAGCTCACCTTGAACCTTTAATGTGTTACTAGCTCGGACGGTCACTCTTGTAGTTGCTGTCAGTTTACAATGATGTCCATAGAGCTGGTATTCTCATGGGGAGTTTGTAGCTGGTCACGCTGTCATGGGGTTACTTCTAAGTGTTTTGTGGTAAAATCTGCAAAAGTACTTTGCTCCAAGGTGTATTTTTGTTGCGCTACCGGAAAGTACTCTTTGCATATGAATATCGTGTTTTGTCGTTGTTTGACGTTGACCAGGTGGCATAAAGATTACTTTTTCCTACTGGCCGATCAAGAGAGTAGGACTTGACATAGTTCCTGTTGTTGCATTCGTATATGCCAAACTTACATGGTATTTAAAACAAACCCCAGAGGAAGCACCCGCATCAGGAAAACAATCTCGAATCCTCTGAAGGTGTCTACTTCCTTCGCGGAAGGACTCGGATTTTAAAATCAAACTCCTCAAGTCCTTTGTTCAGTTTCACCTGTCGCGCGCTTCTAGTCGATTGCATGCTAGCTTACAGGCTATATCTTCTCTGCTTTGTGGCTTTAGACGGTGAAGGTTTTGGCCTATCTGCATCGAAACGCCGGCCTTCTGGACACTCGCTATGCGAACCCGGCTCATCGTGTACTCACCGATTTGGAGAAATGTCCGTTCCTTCGTTTCCATTTCAACACCATGTCGGACGTGGCGAACTATTGGCAAACATGTGAAGTCATATGTCGCAACACCCCGTTAGGTACGCGCTGTGTGTTTTCTAATGTCGTTTGTAACAATTTTTGGAAAATTCTAACTGTCTCAATTATAACCACCATGTAGACAACCTTTTGATGAGGATATGGTGTAGATTCTCTTCGTTGAGAGATTCCACGGGATACCACCTGATACCTGTTCCATCTGGCCTCATCCGTTCTAAGAACCCGTGCAAGGGAACCTGGATAATAAAGGGTCTCTGTCCTGCAACAGATACTGTTCAGCATGGTCAGAAAAGTTTCCGGAACGGAGACGAATGACTGATGTGATGGTACATTTGCTGTGACATATCCAGTTGATTAGGCCAGGAATGAAACAGCGGTGTCCACCGCCGCTGTTGCTTTCGATGATGATAAGACTTTGTCTGGAAGTAATCCCAGAATTCCTAGTTAGACACTGAAATCCCACCAAAATCGAAGTGCGAAATCCGAGAAGCATCCTAACCAGTCAATCCAGTGACGACCGACGATGATAAGTGTTTAGGCGTTTAACAGAAGCACGGTCAATAATGGTGGGTGTTCATCCAATGCCAAAACTACGCATAAAGTACCGCGAGGCCCCTTGTAACTTTTGAACTCTCTTGTTCGCACTAAGCCTGTTGTGTCCCTTGTTGACGAGCCTTTCACCGACACTAAGGCACTGGAGCGGAGACAGCAGTTCGATACAACAGACTGTTATATTGCGCAACCAAGGAAGGTCGGGAGTAAAATCAAAAACAGCACATCCGTAGGCCAGCTGATGGCGCTTCAACTTACTTGTCGATTGCACGAATAAAAGAACGTAAGATGTGGAGTTTCCCAGTGTTAATTTTTCGTCTACATACTTTGTTAAGTTAACCAGCGGTCATTCTCGTCGCGTTGTGAAATACACCCGCTGTCGAGTGGATGTGAATTTTGTTTAAGCAATTTTGACACTGCGTCGAACAATATCTCCCGGGGAGACCAACTTTTAATAGTTATTAATGAGTTAGGTCTCTGCCACCATCGTCTGTCGTAAATAAACAGAAGCGTACTTAGCACTGTGCGGCCTTATGTCAAAGGCGCTTCCAAGCAAGTGTTTTTCAGACTTTACATAAATAGACATCCACCTTTCAAATTTATGCCAAAACACCCCTCGTCACAGGGCACCGCCTGATCAAGACAGACTTAGATAGACAGAATCCGCTCCCCGTGGACCGAACTCTGATTCCCTGGTCTGATGAGCAGCGGGACAAGGTTGTGGATGACGGATCTCTGCCAATCATACAATGGCCGTCTGATGCTTTGCCGTGTGATTATCAACCATTCAACATCGACAATCAGCTTGTCTATCCATGTGGGGCATGCGGATTGAATCCACTGGATTTTTCCTACCTGTCACGAAATTGGGACCGTAAACAACAGAGAGCACACCTCAATAATAAAGACACCTCGTCAGAATCGGAATCCGATACCGAAGATGGAGGTGTGGAGTCTGTGTGGAGATTTCCTTCAATTGATCGCGTCCCGCTGAATCCGGAAGAGCCCTTTTGGCAGTGGGACCACCGCTTGTTCGAAGGTAGGTAACTCCTGATTAACACAGTTGTTGACTTGTTTATAGTAAATCTCAAAAGTTTTTCAGGAACTCCATTCTTTTCAGCGGTTGAATGGTTTTACAGTGCGCAGGATAAACGCGCGCATAGCTTGTAATGTTGAGACAAGAAAAGTAGCATCTAGTTTTCAATATTTTCACAAGGCCGAGTTTGATTTCTGTCCGTTTATCTGACTTGGTGACTTTTTGGTGGAATATTCCCCCCTCCCTGGCCTAATCTTTTCGTCATGATTCAAGGGTCGGGCAACATGCACACGAAAACTCTCACTATCGGTCGTTCGACGAGTCAAAGGACTGGCGGAGCATACAACGTCGTCCGCCTATTCATGCACTCTACACGCTTCAATAGCATATCAGTGCTCACTTGGTTGCGAGATGCCTTAGTTGGTTAGAGGGCGAATCTACTGACTGGAAAGTCCGTGGTTCAAACCCGACCTCTGCCTCTCGACTTCCCCTGTCTAGGCTTTAGCAACCTGGCAGCATCCCTTGCTTCTTTCGGGTGGCTTAGCAGTTAGGCCCCCAAAGGGTGTTAGAGAGATAGGTACGGGTAAGTCGTGCGTTTCATGCTGACTGTCCAATGTTGCGGCGGTTGGCCATTTGGAGTATTATCAGACAGTCAGTACTTGAGGCTTACACATCTAGTACTCTCAATGTATTTTGCACTAGTCGTGAGACCCTCGTAACGCGACTGAGTATTGATGATACCAGTATCAGTCCCGATGTACTAGTATGTCACTACAATACAATTCCAGGGTGTGAATGAAAAGGTGTTTGAGACAGAAGGGGCTGTGCTGACCTTCTACACTTCCATCATGCGGTCAAACAATCTGTACAGAGCCTGGCATCACGATTACCCACGCTTTCCCACTGAACAAGCCTACTATCATTCAGTGGACTTCAACGAGAAATCTGCGATTCTTCGATCCAACTATTTGAAATTTTATTGTGGGCACCGTTCCTAAGTGATACGGTGTGAGTCGATTATCCTTTCGTTCCACCAGATCACTCGCTTTAGGCTGCGCAACGTTACTTTCTGTTCGACGTACCTTTGTCCAGTACAACATTTGAGCCTTCTTGTTATTTTCTTGTGTAGACACTGATTTCCAAGCAGCGTATGATATCATCCCGAACTTGGGCCCGACTGCCTCTGATGACCATCCATCGGAAAGTCGTCGAGCCTATGGATTTTTCTCCGTTACCAGCAAGTATCTCACAAGAGGTACAAGCGATTCCATGAACAAAGGAAAAGAATCGGTTGGGTCGCGTGAAGGATCTCCTATTCAGCCGAGTTCTGTTTCCGCGCAAAAGCCAGATGCTTCGGATGATGATCATACTGGTGGTAAACCCTCCGAATTAGCGGCTTCAAAGAAGCGAGCCATGCAAAAACCTCGGAAATCTTTGCGTAAGCCCCTTTCCTGCTAGCTTGGTATTGTGTGATTCAGTTGGATTGTGGTCCCATCCCTTAAGTATCACGGACCGTTGCCTTAGCCCCAAATCGCCTGGATCTCATATTGATTACTACTTGTTGCGTTCCGAACAACTGCCTTAATTCTCACGACATTTTGGAATTCTGATCAATAGTACTTCTTGTAAGAGTCGTCCGCTGTAACCCGTTGGTGCACCCTGCTGTATGTTGCACACCGACACCATGAAACCTGAGGTTTGCAATGTGGCCCCTGTAATGTGTACACTCGAGGCACACTTTCCCCTGAACGAAAGGAACATCAACGTGGCACAACCCAAATGGGTTTCCTAAGGTCACTGTATGACTACGCTTGAACCACCGATTTTGAGAAAACTGGGTAAATTCGGTGAGTAACTACGCGCGGATGTAAAGCGATCAACCAGCTAAACTATGGAAATCAATGGCAGTTTGTCTGTTGGGTTATGGAAATCAATGGCAGTTTGTGTGTTGGGGTGAAAATTCGTCCTCAAGTTTGGGCGCACTACCACACTTTGTCATCTTCCGTGCTTCAGCTGTTAAATTGGACGGCTCATGATAATGCATCTTGGGTGCGATAAGTATTTAGACCTTAAACGTTCATCTGGGTTGCATCCGCATCCTTAGTGACTGTCAGTTTTACTTTAAAGCTCCACTCAAGAAGTACTTATGGGCGTCTTCTAGTTGAGGAAATTTGGGCTGTTGATTCTCCGATAGTTTGTTTCTGCCCAGTTCGGCCCATCCACTTATGAAACGGGTCCGTTGGTTGGTATGACGGGTGTGAAATAACTGGGAACTGACCTTGTTTGCTCGGTACACTGTTTACCTAAAGTCCATGAAACCTGTAGTTGTTTTTTGGGAATCACATTGTTTTGCAGACCAGAATATTGGTTATTGCCGTGGTTACGGATTCGTTGCATTCCTTGCGATCACTTGACCGTAGATCGTCCTGGATACAGCTCCCCGTTCCACTCATAGTCATATGTTATTGCTTTGTACTTATACATGTGCCACCGTTGGAACTTCGTTGCAGCAAGCCTCTCTCAGGAAAACTCCTTACGTAGTTCGCCGAAGCATCCAATGTCATTGGTCGCAGAGAGACCAATACGCCTTATTCTGAGATGCTCTGCCTTTATCCAGTGTTTCAACCATGGTTTCATTTAATGCTCGAATCTACCATGTGGTGACCCGGTCTCCTATATTCGCACACTTTTACATAGTCTGTCCTTACATTCCAGCCTCACCATCTCCTTTCCTGTTCGGTGTTTTTCAGGTGCAGCTCAGAGGAGGAGGCCACTGATTAAAGAAGGTGAGCTAATTTCTTATCGCTAATTCATGTTGAGGTATATATCCGTACTAATGTGGAAGTGGAAGTAGTTTTGTCTCTAGGTGTCCTGAAAAAAACTATACAACCGTTTCAGTTTTTTTTTTATTGGCTGCTACTTAAGCTTAGCTCGTAGTAGGGGACTATGCTTGTGTCGTTTCTATTTCACTGTTTTTGTCGCTGTTCCATTCACTAGATCGTCGCTCGTCACGATTCCGGAACCCACGCTGCTGTTGGTCCCCACTTGAGGATCAGTTGGTACGTTTTTCTCTCTGGTTAGCCAGCATATTTTCCATAGGACTTTCGTTTCTGCACATCTTTAATGAGGAATCTCTGGCTTTGTCCTCGGTCCTCAGGTTACCGTTTCTTTAGCTATAAGCTGTTGCCAATAGAACCCATGCAGGTGTTAATGCTGTTATGCAGCTGTTATCAGTTTTCCAGATTTTTTGTTCTGTTCGTTGTCTTACAAGTACACGGCGGACATTTCCACGAAGGTTCAAGAACCTTCCGTGTCATAGTTGAACCGTTGATCACTGACGAATTCACGTGTTGTTTTTTCAGACCTTTGTGGAACCAAAACTTGATTGCGTCCGAAAATGTCCAAATTGCTTGATTGGTGATCCGTTTTGCTTAGCGATGGTAGCTGAAACCTGACAAGCTTTTTTGAACTGAATAGCGATGTCATTGTGACGCCTATAAAAGGCAGTTGCCTTGTTGCTGTCCACGATAATAGAAAAGAAAAAAGAGACAGTTCCACCTGAGTGGACACGCGTTGTTCGGCACCACATAACACATCAGACAGAAGATTGCCCATACCCCACTATAACTAATTGAATGTCGTTCCTTAGAAGTAGACCGTTTCTGACAGATCATTCGGACTCGTTGGATATATCATGTTCTCATTAATTCTTGCGTTCACTGCAGCTGTTCTGATTAGGAGGACCTTGGGCAAAATACGTTGTCCAAATTGTCCGTATGTTCAAACTGAAGCTGATTCTACCGATTACTGTTTCCTGACGATGCTCCGTTTTTCTCCATGTTGCCAATTTCAACCCACTTTTGCCGTTACTCACCTGCATTTCCCATGTTTAGATGACTACCTTCTTCACCTAATTCAGACTCTTCGGTTGATCTGGTTTTCGATCTGTCATCCTATAATCTAATAACATAATACAATTGTAGTAACGGCACTACTTTCGGGTTGCTATCTATTTCAGCTCGTGTACATGGTCAATTAGCCTGTGCCAACCTCGGCCTGATTTGTTCTGACGTTTTAGTTATTTCTGCGGATCCATCTGATTACTCGTCTATTTGCAAGTAATATGTTTTAGTCCCTGTTTTCTCTTGCCCCCCAGCTCGTCGTTTGCCGCGTCGCCTCGTTGGTGATTGGAGGGTCATCTTCGAGGGAATTCCTTTCTGTGCCTTATTCCACTGTCCGCGATGTCCTCCAGCGGTACATTCCACATGTGCGTCTAGTACCTGTTTGCACTCTGTCATCCGTGTATCGATTCAACTCGGGTTCTCTGGTCACCTGGGTTTCATTAGCATTGTATGCTGGTGCAGTTCTTCATTTTCTTCCGATTCGCGCAGGCTTGACTGATATTATTGTTGGTTCTGAGGCTTTGCTGCCGCATGACCATAAGGTTTGCTTCAATAAGGGAGGAAGAAGAGAAGAGCAGATAGGAAAGTAACCCGTTTTCATTCTCCTCTGAAGCTGGATAACTGTTTTGAGGCAATGTCATGTGGTCAGATCGGTTGGACGACGGGTCATCATCTGAAACGAAACGCAGTATATGCAATTGCATATCCGCGTGTGTTTACAGGCGAGAACTGATTGCTGAGGTTTTCTCTCTAACGTCTATCCTAACCTAACATTTGTGGGCGCAGTTCACTATTCCAGGCTTGACCTTCAGTGTCTTCCAGAGATCCAATGACTTGTTTATCATAAACTGGCTGTACCATGAAGTGATAGGCCATTCGGCGTGCTACCATCCATTGAGGTAATTAAAAATGTATCGATAAGAGAAACCGCCATCCGTTCGAGAGATAGCGAGGATATCAACTGCAATGATATCAGTCCGTTTTCTAACTAGTGAACCATTCAAATGAGGAAAGAACCTTCGCGAATATACACTCATTTGCAGACTAATTTGGTTTTTTGAGAGACTCACTTGGAACCCAGCTGAATCTCTCGCTTGTGATGTTCCCAGGTTGACGGAAACTCGGGGACTGCACCTACCTGATCAGCCGCAAAAAGGGCAAAACCGGTCGTGGGCTGTCGACGGATTCTCAGCAACCTTATGAGTAGTACATTACAAAGAAATTAAAATTAAATTAAAACTTAGATCTCGGCTGAATGATATGCTCGCTAGAGAGAGTTACATTGTACATCTTCGGCTTAGTGAACCTCAATAGGCGACCACTGAGTGGTCACTCGGTGCTGACACTAGGAACGTTGTAATTTCCAATAGGATGAACTCCGATTTCAGTCCAGAGACCGAATACATCGATTCATCGTATTCAGTGGCTCACAAGGTCCAAATCCCTTCGTAAAATTGGGGGTCAGATCTTCTTCGGTGAATCAAATGGAGCATCCGCCCGTTTAGTAATAGCCATTCAATTTTATAAACCGAATGAGTCTCATTTCTTAAGGAACGTTGTTCCAATAGGATGAACTCCGATTTCAGTCCAGAGACCGAATACATCGATTCATCGTATTCAGTGGCTCACAAGGTCCAAATCCCTTCGTAAAATTGGGGGTCAGATCTTCTTCGGTGAATCAAATGGAGCATCCGCCCGTTTAGTAATAGCCATTCAATTTTATAAACCGAATGAGTCTCATTTCTTAACGAAATTTGTGTTGATGGGCTGGGTACATGCTTCCGGCGTTTTTAAAAGAGCACAATTGGGTGACATGTTTTATGGTAATGGTGGTCTGTATGTGGGTTGTTGGAAACAAGAAATCAATAGTTCCACCCAAATCTTTACGCCGCACCACGCATTTGACAGATATTCCTGATTCAATCAGGGACGGACACATCACGCTTAGTGGCAGTTCTTTTCTGTTAACGAACATCTTGTATTGAAGTGTTTCTCTGTGTTCCCCGGGGGACTTCGTGCCGCTGAGGTAGCGTAATAGAAAACTTGTAATCAAACCGCGATACATAAATTCGGGGTACCAGAACTGATGGAGTTATCATAATGTGGTTACTACGTGTGCAGTTGAACTAATTGTACATATCCTTCTCATCACGTGGTTGAGTTTCCTTGACCTGAAATCATTTATTGATCCCGTAATACGCTATGATAACAAGAGGATGGGCTCCGACTTTCTACATATGGAATACTGTTGTATCATGGTTGGCCGTCTATTGATCACGCCTGCACTGAGCCTGCCAGACTATGCGATAAGGAGAAGACAGAGAACTCGGGACACGGCTGCACTGTCAGAGCTTCTGCGTAAATATATAGGATGACTGGAACTGATGGAGTTATCATAATGCGGTTACTATGTGTGCAGTTGAACTAATTGTACATATCTTTCTCATCACGTGGTTGAGGTTCCTTGACCTGAAATCATTTATTGATCCCGTATTACGCTATGATAACAAGAGGATGGGCTCCGACTTTCTACATATGGAATACTGTTGTATCATGGTTGGCTATCTGCTGATCACGCCTGCACTGAGCCTGACAGACTATGCGATAAGGAGAAGACAGAGAACTCGGGACACGGCTGCACTGTCAGAGCTTCTGCGTAAATATATAGGATGACTAAATGGCCAAAAATGGTAGTTCACTTGCTCGCTCTGTACAACCAATTGCGGTGTTCCGGTCGTGAACACCTTGAGGCCCACTGCGCTGGTCATATGTTGCTAAGTCGTGTTTGGTGAGTTCCGCCAACGCACCTGCTTTCCGAACGTGTCGTACCGATGGTGACCTTGGGGATGCGTCACTCTCTGCACATGTACTTTTTCTGTGTCTGGGCCCGTCCTGACAAACTCATTGCACCATCTATTCATCGTCCTCATGGCATGTTTGTCTGATTTGGTCTCCGTCCCATTGTATTGATTCGTCAGTCTACTGTTACAAGTAAAATCCAGGACATCTCTGCTATCAGAATTCGACATGCTTTTTTGTGGGACCACTAACGCTGTGGTAAGTTACCGGACCGCGGCCGCAAGTTTAAGGAGTGCGTTTCAGAAATACCTTGGAACACAGCTGGCTGATCTCATGTGATTTTGATTTAATCACAAGCGATTTTGTGCAAACGTTTTTGGGGGCTAATAGAAACGTTCTTATTGGTCTCCTGTCGGACAGCGCTGAATGAGAGCGCTGTTCTTCTATTCTTCCCCCCATATGTTAAAAACTGACGTTTTCTTTTTGTTACCAAAATCCTCAATGTGCTTGCAACCGCGTATTTTGAGCATCGTAGTATTTGTGCGGCTTGAGGTTACAGTTGCTTCACCGATTTGGTAATATGTCAGTGACCGTGTCGGTGAGCTCACTTCCAGGTATAGTTCATCTGTCAGTATCCTCATCGGAGACGGAAACATCATTGTTTACACTAATGTTTCGCTGCAGTATGGTCGCGGAGTCTGATCATATTTAGTGCCATAAAGTGAAAAAACAGGAGAATGGATTAGTTAAGGACATGATGCTAATCTGCCCAGAATATTCAGCTCGTGAAATGATCCTGAAAGGGAGGTCAGTCTTATTAGAATGAAGCTCTTGGTTCGGAGGGACGAATATTTTGTCACGTATGAGTACCGTGCACATGCGCCGTTGTATTAGGGAGGCTGTCACTACAGTTCGCTAAACAGTGAGAGTCGTGTACATTAGAGCTCTTAGGTTCTCAGTCGGAAGAAAGGGTTCATGCTAATGAGTTTGTAGATATGAGTGGTCATGACAACAACGGATTGGTTTGTTAGGTTGCTTGTGAATTATGAATTACTCTGCAATGTTTTTTATTTTTACACGTTTTCAAGCGTGTCTTTATGTAGTTTTATGTGTGACCGCTGTTACTAGCCCCTTGGCTTAGTGGTTGTGATAACTAGAGTTTTCAGGTACCGCGGTTCGAATCCGCCTTCTGCCTCGTGCTAGTTGCCGGATGATTGGCTGGAGTATGACATCTGGGTCTTTAACCCCAACTATCATGCCATGCTGATCTGGTTGGTGTGCGCAAAAGAGTTTGAACAAGTCCCCAGCTATTCCTTTCCACGTATGATGTAAGGTTGATGGTCTTTGGTGCTGCGACTGAAAGATGAAAGCGAAATGTCAACATCTCACTGCCCTTATCTCTTCCATACTTCATTGTTCATCTTGTTCAGGTGAAGCCACCCAAAACAGTGCATGCCTATGCTCGTCGGATGAAGTTTATTCTTGTACTGAGACGATCCGAATGCACCGCGGTGAACATTCTTCTTGCTCGTGTCTCTGCTCGTCCTGATCTTCAGCGGAAAGTGAGTCGTTTCGCTGCATCTACCTCAATGAACGTAGTTCAGTTCTCTTCAACGCCTGAGTTAATGTCATTTGTTTCATATCATTCAGTTACGCATGTTAGACTGATGACCCACGCGGTCTGTTTACACCAGCGACTTGCAGTGCATACCCGTGTCCGTTGTCAGCTGTGCCGAGATTTGTACCGCATTTTACGTTCTTGTTTCGTGTTATGCTCCCAGAGAGTGCAGGAAGAAGACTCGTTGCCTAAATGTTGCCTTGTCATGAGCCGGATGAGCTTGCGTGGAACAGCAAACAGATGAACTACTCAAGGTCCTGAGACGGAATGAACATGGCAAATTGATCCGCGTTTTACATTTACGTCTGTCTACTCAATGTGCTGATGTTAATACGGCAAACTAAACTAACCTCAACAATCTGTTCGCTTACGAACGAACAAACACTCCCTGCAGCCAGAAAAAAATACGGCGTCGGTTGCCTGTAACAAATTCCTTCAGTAATTTTTTGCTTGTTGGAAATGAGAAATACTTCATCGTGAAGTGTTGCGCAAACGTTTTTGTCCCATTGCATGTTCTCCATACCTTAGATCACCGTCTTGCGAACTCCAAGCATTTGGTTGAAATATTTGAAGCAGAATGGGAGAACGCGAGAACTGAATAAATATTTCATTTATCATGTCCCTCAACTGGTCATGTGGTCCGTTTTAGTCTCGCTCTAATTCCATCTTCAAACCGCACGTATATCCGGTTTCTTATTTCTGCAAGAAATAATATTAGGAAAGCTTCCTGGACTGCGCCTAATTGACGAGCCCCAAGACAAAGTGAAGCCGATCGTAGGCTGTCAGCCAGCTCATCAGCCCTTTGTTGTATTGTGGGTGGCCGTCTATTGGTTACGCCTGCACTGAGCCTGCCAGACTACGCGATAAGGAGAAAACAGAGAACTCGGGACACGGCTGTATTGTCAGAACAAAACATACAGCGCTTCTGCGGCCAAATATGGTCGTTCACTTGTTCGTTCTGTACAGCCAATGGCGGTGTTCCGGTCGTGAACACCTTGAGGCCCACTCCGCTGGTCATATGTTGCTAAGTCGTGTTTGGTGAGTTCCGCCAACGCACCTGCTTTCCGAACGTGTCGTACCGATGGTGACCTTGGGGATGCGTCACTCCCTGCACATGTACTTTTCCCATGTCTGGGCGCGTCCTAACACCCTACAAATTTTATTTTATGCCCAGGAGCATCCAGAGGTCGAATAAAAGTTGACACGTATTTAGCTTAACCTTTGTGATTTAAATATCTGAAACAGCTCATTCACAATGAATCTCTTTATATGGAAGTGAACGCTGATTAACTCAGTGTTCGTTAGAAGGTCGTGCGTCCCTGAAGTGTTTGCCCCGTTTAGCAACCACATAATACCTCTAAGTGAGTTGTCAACTATGAATATACTTTGTTGTAAGTTAACTTCTGATTTCTTTCCCATTCCAGTTTAATTATGGTCGAAACCGTTGGTATGCGCTGTGCAGAGATGCGCCTAATACGGCCGAGAAGGTATTCCATTCAGCCGTGGACTGCATTATATCCGAATTTGTACCTCGTCTAAATCAACTCCGACCAGAAGCTAAAATCACCCCCGCATCACCTTGTAAGTTTCATGCGGATCGCACACAGACTGCAAACACTTTACTTTGTATGTTCATAAGTAATTCAGATCGTATTCGCGAGCGCTGACTACAGATCTTCAGCTTCCAAGAACTGCATCCATATTTTTGTTAGACAACCTCATATTTCAGCCAAACGTTGCATCTATTGATATCGCACTAAGGGATTCGTGTCCTTCCGTCCAGTCGATCATTCACTCTGGTGCGAAATAGACACGCTCTAATTCGTGTTTATAGCATTTCTGCTTATTGGTAAATGTGAGATTTATGCTTGTTTTCCAAAATTTTATGATAAGGATGCTCACGACTCGCGTAGAATGACGTATAGTTCAGTCACGTAAGCCTCTAGCCTGCTCCACTCCCTCCAGCTTCACCATCTCATACGTGAGCTGCTTGAGGTTAGTGTGCCCGAACGTACATTATTTACAAAACCAGCTACTTCCTATTTGCCAGTAGGCATAAGGTCTGCAGAACATTTTCACAAATCCTTCCAGCTGCGTGACTTTTGCCGAGGCGTGATATGTAATTTATTTTTTGTTGTCCATTGAAAGACAGTAGGAGGCTGTTATAGACGAATGCATTGGCTTTATTCGTTTGGATCTCTCGTTGAAACGAGATTCGTATGCAAATGATGGCATTTAACTTACTTTCATTTGCTCCCCATTATTTTCCTGTTGGTTTAGCCACGGCAGACATCCCCGATGAGACGGCCTCGGAAAATGTCGAACTTCCACGAGACAACAAGCCACCTTTTGAGGCCGATTCTTCAGCTGCGTGCGATCACGAATATCGCATTTCTGGATCACGCTCTGAAGTCGAACAGAAGTACAGCTTGTTCAAGCTGAACAGTAAAACACAATCGCAGGGGCTAGCAGATGTTGGCAAGAACCGCGTTGCTGTGGTTGTCTACTCTTTGTACAACTACGCCATGGTGAGTGTTTTCAGATCTGCCATCCTGAGCCTTTCCGCAGCATTATTCCTTCCATACATCCCTACACATACCGCATCGCTCGCAACTATTACGCGAACAAACTGGCTAAGAACTTTGATTGTGTTAGTGGACTTGTATGCTGCAGCTGTGTTTTTGGTTAACAACCCATCGCTTTTCTCTGAAATCCATTCTGTTGTTTTGACAGCGCACAATTTTTGGAAATCTGTTATTTGCTCGTTCTTATCACTCCAAACACAGGACCGCAAATGAATAGATGTTCCGTAGTGAGCTGAACTGTGGAGTGTTGGAGTGTGTCAGAGGGTGGGCTAATGCAATTAGACTTCAGTTTTGTATAGAGACAAAAGATGAAAGGGTGAACGATTCGGTAGATAAGACGCTTATTATTCAGTTGATGAACAACAAGAAATCGAATGTGTGCAATCGCGAACGATGAAAGTGGATATGGCGTTTTCCGTTTTATGGGATGTTTGTTTATTCTACTTGATTTATCGTGAAACATATTTGCACCGATGTGAAAATTCCGGGGCACGGTGCGATGAGTTTCTACTGATCAAAGATGTCAGGGGTCGCATATAACGTGTGATGTCTGAGATGAATAGCGAGATATTTGATGAATATTGATTCTGGATCAGTTTGGGATGGAATTCAGCGGTCAATGGTGCGTGAGTTATCCTCTATGGCTAATTGAGTGTCACCATTGCTGACAACTTACCACTGGTTCGCTGAGTCCTCCTGTTAGGACAAGAAGCACTAACGTCGTCTGTGATACAGAGATTTTCCACCCATTTGCCGAATTCGAGACGCTTAGTTCTGTACTTTGGGCTATAACACTGCGAACAAGTTTCATTCAGACCCAGTACGGGGATTCATGCTCAGTCAGACACAAACCTTTGAAGCTACGAAACTCACTTTGCCCTCAGTCTCTAGTAATCTTCCGCCGGAAGTAATTTTTTCCTGATACTAAAAGCTCCAGATGTTGAGCCAGGTGGCCTTGTGGTTTCGGTTTTTTGTTGTCCACTTATAGGTGATTGCTTTCAATGTGACCTCGCTTAGACCTGTTTTCCACGCTATCCGATATCTTTGAGGTAAAGCACCCTTACACGGGATATTTTCACTAGCTATCCACGCCTCCTCCGTTCCCCACTGTCCTCACAGTCTTCATTCCGATTCATCCCGGATCCCACGCACCCATTCCGTTCATTCATATTCAGTCGTGTGCTCCATCAGTATCCACGCATTCAGCTTGGCCAGACTTTATCTTTGTTAATGGCCGGTAAACTTGCAACCGCGTCCAAGATGCCTACAGTGAGTTGTTTTCTGTTTTTTTCGACTGTAATTTACTGTCCGTACCCTTGTCATCACCGATTCGGGTGAAGCTGCCAGGTGAACTTGGTGGCGATCCTCAACGAATAATTTCACTCATTACTTTTGTTTTTTCCTCATCAGTTTCCTTTGAGGTTCACAATAATGCTGGCAGTCTGTGTCAAAGCCTGTTTCGACTACAATATGTGTCTTTTCCGTTTTCGACCGATCGATACGTGATGTGAACTACCTGAGTGAAGGATGAGTGGCGTCATAGCTTACCTAGTTACGAGTTAATAGCAGTGCTGATCAGGCACTCCTGTTGAACGGTTTCATCACGAACTGTCAGCACTGGGGCTCAACTCACTCCAGAGATCCTGTAACGTACTGTTGACTATTTCTACTAAGGCTGAAAGAGCTTCAAGGTGCTTTCTGGTATGGTGTGGCCTCGCTTAGAAGCCGAAATCGCGATACTGTCATCATTTCCGACCGCCGATCAAGTAGTTACTAGTGAAACTGTTCTGTACAGATAGGAGTTAGGACATTTTAGGTTGTCTTGTTACCAAAGGCGATAAATTTCATGAAGTGCACCTTCGAAACTTTGGCGCTGAATTAAAAGTTGCATGTCAGCATTGCGAAATCACTTCTTGCAAGAACATACCCCTTCCTTCCACTGGTTTAGCTTGTGTGCACATTTTTCTGAACCCGCGCCTTTCGTTGCTTGATCCGCGGGCGACCAACCAGCAATAGTTTTTTCAGTCAATAACTGTGCTTCTTAGCTACACTGCACAGGAGACTTTATTCTTATGGGTGACAGCTAATCCGTTGTCCCGAACTTTTTTTTGAATCGATTAACGAGTGTGGGCTTGGAGGATGTTTGATATGACCGACTTTAATTCTCTGCGTTCATTGGTATGCTTGACCGACAAGCGGCCGTAGCTTACACATTATTTACTCATTGAACAAGCGTTTTTGGGTTTTTGGAGTTATCTCGCTTAATTTATTTTTTTATCTTCTTCATCTTTCAGATTCAGAAAAACGAACGTATTCTCCACTCCAAACGGGTGAAACTGTCACAACGGTAATTTTCCATATGTTGGACTTATTCATATTCATTCAAATATGGTACAAATCTTACATTCAGTTTGCTATCATCGTACCGGGGAAAGGAAGAGGTTATTAGAATGCGCAACCAGTTTTTGCGGTTACAAGAGATCCGAAAGTCCTACGTGCATGACGACTGAGAAACTTGATTTTCGTAGACGTGTTTATTGTACGACCTTTCCTGAACATTGCTTGAATTTTAGACATCAACGAAGAAATATCCGAGGAGACCAATAATTTCCAATTCAACTGTCAGTTAACTGTAGGAGTGGTGTATCAAAACGCAAAGTACTGTTACTCACCGTCTTGATCAGTAGTACTGTACAATATGGTTAAAAAGTACGGGTATGCGGGCCTGCTGATATAAGGAAGTCAAGTTAATAAGGTATCCCTTTTCCCAAACAGTTGCAAATCTTCAGTGTCAGTACCTAGGTCCGGATACTATGCTATGAAATATAAGACGAATGAATTCGATACGCACATCATAGCCACCGTACCCGGCTGATGCCTGACAGAAAGGGAAATTCCCTACAGCATGAGGTATAATTAAACCTTTTCTTGTCAAAATCCGCAGTTACCGGTGGATGCGTTTCTTGTTGTGGTGAATGACTGTGTAACGGTACTGCATCGCCGAATCGGTGACTCGCTTCCCTGGATGTTCGACTGTGTCATTCTGCTCGCGAACCCAATCTCCATAAAATAATCGGATCTGTTCAATAATATTCTTGCAGGACCACTTCGACTGATCCCGTCGATATTTTTACCCAATTATTCAGGCTTCCCGTCTTCAGAAGCAGCCACAAACTATCTTGATCAGCTACTACCTGCTGTATACGAAACGTCATCGGTTCTAAATGCGTAGCTCACTATTTCCAGTACATTGTTACGTCTTTTCGGTGTATTCGCGTCACCTATGTTGCGCGTTGACGGGTGGACCATTAGTTGGAAACATCAGTTACCTCTTATGCAGTATATTCAGTAGACAGGCTTTTGGGCATCTCAGGAATGTGATACTACCATTCTACTCTACTAGTGTTTTTGTCGGGGCATAAACCCTCAGGGGTATAAAAGTTCCTACCGGACTGAGAAGCACAAAGCTAAGCATCAAGAGGAAGTTTTAGTGTCCACAATTTCGCAGGCGGCTGTACTCATCGAAACAGCATGAAATTTCTGCGGATCGAAGTCAAATGGTTTACACCTGGTCAACTACTAGCCGACCGTGGCTCAAAACGGTACACACTGCTGATGTTTTGGTATATTGATCCTGCCAAGAAATGAAGATCAATGAGTCTGGTAGTTATAGGATCAGGTTCGGACAACTCCAGTTGTCAAGACATTGAATCTGATCGAAGCAATTCCTCTTGGGTTAATGGCTTATCCAATCGTTTTGTGTTCACGCACTGCCATTCTACTGCGCAATAAGGGCGTCAGTTCAGTAGTTGACGTCATGTTGGCAACAGAATCGCCAACCACAGCGAACACTTTAGCTGTCAACTTGGGTGAGCATAAGTAGAAGCCCCTAGTCTAGAGAACATATTGTTATAATTGGAGATGAGCTGGTGATTTGAAGGCAAGTGAAGGAGATTTTTTAGCGAATCACGAATATTTATATATGTTTCTTGCAAACAATTGAAGCAAACGGATCAACTGATCTCAGCTGATTGGAAGTTGCCGAGAACTAAGCGTACGCTAGTTGCGGCAGAAGCCGTGTGGTTGTAGTTTTCTCACTGGGCGTTTGAATTTGTTGTTTGAGTTTGCTGCGCATGTTTCAGTTCTCATATTATCACGAATATCATTCTTTACCTTGATCCGAATCCGATCTTAGACGGTGTAGTTATCAGTTGAGTACTGGAGTCAATCGTTAGCTGAGGATAATCAGGACTACTGTGCGGTCAAGCATTTATAGATTAACAGGAGCGTGTGGCGGCCTGTCTCATTTGGGAGTTACTCAATCGATAGTTATCACTCTGTTATGTTGCTCGAGTGATCTAGCTTACCAGTTCTCTCGGCTTATGTGTTTAGCCATTGTACCAAACTCCCTTAATGTGATACTAATTACGCGATTTTTGCCTCTATTGCACCAGCTTCTTACAATGGGTTTGGTACGAACTAGTGGCCCAAACTAGGCAAGTCTGTCAGGCACGCTTGCTCTGGAAAGCGACTGACCCTCAACTTCTTGAACCCAAAACTGAATGCTCGTCCCAAGAGCCCCTGCTTGTTCACTCCTTCAAAGAACATACGAGTGGCGGCGAGGTCGCAGTATTTTTGGAACTCATGTTGCAAGATCAAGTGAGTACTGGATGGAAGTAGTGCCTTTTCAGTGCTGTGGTATATTCAATTTGGTAGGCGTAATTTATGATCGTGCTTCCTGTTTCTTTTGTAACTAAACCATTCTACGCTGTTGCCCATTTTCATCTGTGAACTGTCTTGTTTGTGCCTCTTGATTCACTACTGACTGGTCTCCCAACAGCACAATCTCAAGGTGTGTGAAAAATTTCGGCCTATTTTTTCGAAATCGACGGGTAATCCCTAACGTGTTTTGCTTGGTTGTTTAAGCGTAATACTCTGTCTCTGTCAACCCCAGTTCTTACAGTTCGACATGGACTTTCAAGCTGGCTCGATCACTTTCATCCGTGATGCCACAATTAATGAAGGTAAGTTAATTTATTCCCTTGAATTCTACTTTATTGCAACATCCTCTTATTTTTTTCCTTTGTCCCCCCGACTTCCTTTTGGGTTTCTACAATGATGTCATTTAACAACTAACTGTATATGAGTCGTTTCGCACATCGCTGGGCGGTGACGCTCGGGTTTTTTGCCCAGGCATGCTGATGGAAGTGATTAGCGAAAAACCAACCTTCGAATTCGCAACAAAATTACATAAATCAATCCCATAATGCCGCAGAATTCCTGATACCCTCTTTCGTGTTGGGGACCCTGAGACAAGCGTCAAGACAAACGTGACCCACTCTCGTAGCAGTTTGCTTTCCTATGTGGAAGTTGCCATCTTCAATATCCTACCTTATCAAACGCCATATTTGCAGTGATCTGACTGAACCATGGTGGCTAGTGTATGTCTGCTTCTTGGTTTTCTTTATTTTCCTATATTGTTTGTCTTCCCTCATTGATTAACCAAACTGGCGGAACTGGCCCCTTTGGCACCCGGAATAAAGCTGAATAACTGAATTGAACAGAACTTCACGCAACTTGTACCACTATAGTGCCGAGTAAGATTATACACAAAATAAAAGTTTTGAACGTTCCCCACTACTGATGAGCTGCAACTAATTTGCAACAAACATGGTCCTTCATCTTGGGAGGGATAACGGGCAAGAAGAAACAATCGAATCTGGTCATTGGAAGTTCACTGGCGATTGAAGCGGGGTTCCGCTAAATTGTGTGTAAGTCCAAGTTAATGGCACGGCCTAGCAGCCGCTCATGAAGTAACTGAAGCTCCGACTAATAATTGAAAATCCTTCAATGAAAATCTCATCATCAGAGCTGTATGAAGTGAGGGCTGCCAATCGCTTCGGAGCAGTATGATGCAGTTGTACACTCCTTTGTTTTTCCGGTATATCATACCGGAATATTGAGTGTTGTTCTGTGCAATTAGCCATAGATTCATTTACCGATATCACGTTTCCACTGTCAGTGTACGCGCTGATGAAACTCCACATTGCTAAATTGTGTGTAAGTCCAAATTAATGGCACGGCCCAGCAGCCGCTCATTAAGTAATTGAAGCTCCGACTAATAATTGAAAATCCTTCAATGAAAATCTCATCATCAGAGCTGTATGAAGTGAGGGCTGCCAATCGCTTCGGAGCAGTATGATGCAGTTGTACACTCCTTTGTTTTTCCGGTATATCATACCGGAATATTGAGTGTTGTTCTGTGCAATTAGCCATAGATTCATTTACCGATATCACGTTTCCACTGTCAGTGTACGCGCTGATGAAACTCCACATTTGTAATTTCCTCGTGACACGTGATCAAAAACATGAATTTTTAACGTTCGAAAAGAGATACCACCATTGACTCGTGCTTACGACGTCGGCCGACTTTCAGTGTTTGATAGTTGTCCTTTGCCTATTGTCATCCTTGTCTGGTTGCATCATTGCATCAGCAACGAAAGTGTTGGTCATCCGTCACGTGATTAGCGGGCGAGTACAACGTGGTCAATTAGGGAAAGTAAAATCATCCGTAGACGTAATACGCTGCCCATAGGGTTGCTGAAAAGCATTCGACAGTCCACGACCGATTTTGCTCTTCTTGGGGCTCATCAGGTAGGCGCAGTCCCCAAGTTTCCGTCTACCTCATATTTTACGTAAACACAAATCATCCAGGCTTCCTGATTGACACTCCCAATACCCCGAAGCCATGGGGTTACAGGTCAGCGATCTGATATTTTACTAGGACTATTTCGACTTCACATTCTTTTCTTTGAAAACGAGTAATCCCATTTCTCCGTCCTGCTGAAAATATCCCTAGTTTGGAAGACACTAACCTTCATGCCTCTTGTGTTCATGCTCCTATCGTGTATACAATCGTGGTATATTGACCGTTTACACGAAACAGTTGAAATCGCCGTCAAGCAGAGGATGGACCTGATATGCACGGAAATCCAGACCACCCTCAGGCCGGGCAAAAATAGCTTCGCTGGCGGATGAACTATCCCTTTGGAGGCCCAGGCGTTAACTTCTATAAGCGCAGCGGTCGTCCAGGTAGTCATTGTAGACGCTGCAATACAACTGGAAATCAGTGAATAGACTTTATTACTACTGTTAATATTGTTATTATTATCAGTGGTACAAGTGCAGAATCACTGCAGTTAATATCTGGAAAAACCAACGCACCAATGTTTCTTGCTACACATAGCGGTGCACCACCGTCCTTATCCACAACTGAACCTCCAATCGGCAGATGCCGATGTTTGTGCAATTTCACGTTTGTTCCCTGCTTTCCAAATCAGGAAGGCTTTTCTCGAGACAGTCAGGATCTCACTTGACTTTTCGAACAGGAGTTCGGTTGTAGATCGACTTTGTGCCGAAATGTTGAATAACATTCTCCCCATACTTCACGCAGCAATCTACGAACTATCTCGAAAGAACAGATTTCTTCTTGCGCGAAATGAAAGATTTTCTTTTGGCCGATTGGTATGCTTGGATCTATGTTGTTGTCCGGTAATTCTTGTTCCTCTTCCTTTTGATGAGGAGGCACCACTCGGCATATCTTGACCACATGCTTTAATAAAACGAGTTGTGGTTTTGTTAATCTAGAGTGTCATTGTTGAAGCACATGCTGGCTATTGCCAATGTGGCTCGGTGCCCTCGAAATCGCTGGTCAAGTGATATGATCTTTATCTCCCGTTTCTCGGACGATTAGCGTTGAACTCTCACCATAGGTAAAAGAAGCTTTGTCTGTCAGAGAAGTCACTCGGTCGGAATAGGAACTGAATGAGAATGCACTTGGATGCTGTCTGTGCAGATCACTAATTCTTGTTTATGCCTTTGAACCTCGTCGGCTTGTTCATTGTATAACGACCACTGATGATATTCCCAGTGCTCTAAGTTGCAGTCGACCGATTTTGCTCTTATCTTCAATGTCCTATAGACGATGCCGCAGTGTAGGACCACGTAAGCCGTATTAACGTACACACATGATTGAGCCTATTCAGCAGATCTCTTAGGGATATCAGACCAGTCAATGTATTGGGATCTATCACAGGAGCTCCACCTTGTATTTGTTCCTGCACTGACTTGCGGTTCCGATATAAGATACCTACAAAGTTGATCACGATAACCCTCTCTGCCATAATGACTTATTTATCAACATGCGACGCCTTTCCTCGGAGGAAATGCCTTTGACAGCCCAAAGAATTTCTCCAACAGAATACCCCAACTCAACTGAATTTCCAAAATCGCAACATGCATGATACCTGCCAACATGAAATACTTTTTGGTCATTATTCCGGTGAGCTACACCGCAGATAGTTGGGAGAGTATCACGTTTTGTTTACAACTGTCCGAGCGAACAGCAGAGCTGGGAACGTGCCGCTCGCGAGACACATTAGATTGACCCATGTATGTTGTCGCGAACAGAGGATGCAGTTATGCAAGCCAACTACGGCTATTCCGCTGTCCACCAGAGATTCAGTCGTCATCAACAACACTTATCTGAGCAAGGTTAACAGTCAGTGGTCGTTTTTCTTTTGGAGAATATTGAGCTGTTTGACACTGTCCCCTTATTTAGGGGAGGATGAACAGTAATTCCATCGCCTAGCTCCTAGTTAAGGTTTTTCACCCACAGTAAGACACCGCACGTTAAGGTGTAAAGATTTCTGCCTCAGTGCTGCTTCGGTAGGTGGGATAGGATGTCTCGAGTTGGACACGTTCATGCCACGAAACCCACACAGTTTTTCATGTTACTGACTATCTGGATATTCAGAGTTTCGCAATATACCATATGCTTCTCTAGGCATATGTCGTCCAACCAGCGGTTATTTCTTGTGAGCTTAAGTAATGCATGAAGGTTCCAACTGGTCTCAAGCTCCTATCTCTTCACTTGTTAGCAGTTGACATTATTGCTCGTGAGTGTTGTGCATCTGTTTACTGTGTAACCTTCCGTGTGTTTATCAACCCCTAGCCGTGCGTTGTTTTGAAAACCGCTATGCAGACAACGATATATCGTCCGATGTGACACCTTCCAAAAGTGGCGACACCTCAGGCCATAGGAAGTCGTCTAGTGTGATCAGACGGGAACTTTTACCACAATTGCAAGAAATCCCTGAATGTTTCCACGATCGCCAGTTTTGGTTAAACGCTGCATACAGTAACCGCTTTCGATGGTTCGAGAATCGCTTGTCATTCTGTCAAAGTCAGCTAATTCTACGTAGTCGACCGTGCACGGAAGACACAGGGCGTATGCAGTATCTTGGCTTCAAGAAACAACGTCAGGCCTCACACGAAGTTATACAGTCCATTGTGTACAGAATGAATGATAGAATAATGTCCTCTTTGGAGCTGAAGAAAAATGGAACCAAAACCCTAATGGTGGTTCCTGATAGTTCTTCTCTACAGTGCGATTTGGAGAAATTCATCAGTGAAGGGCGATTCACTGGACGCACAACTGAAGAGGTTAAGGTAAGCTTCACATTCTCACTGTCTAGCTTCTCGAGGCTAGTTGACTTTTGGTCAGCGTTTCTCTACCTGTAAAGTGGTTTAGTATGCTCGAATTCCGTTTCGTTTTGATTTCCTGGGATTACACGTGGTAGTCATTTCGTGATTAAATCACGTCTTACTTCCACATTTTGTCGCTCAGTGTATTTGGTGACTGGCTTCTACTGCGCTGTGTTTGTACGTGAAAAGCCCCGAGTGTTGATGATTTGGCGTTTGGGTTTGGCAAACTCCGTTTCCACATTTAGGTTACTTAAAAGGAAAGTCGAACGAAAATGAGGATAGTCATGCTATCCTAATGGCTCAAGGGGTGAAATGGTTCAGTAGTTGAAGCGCGAATTTACTGACTGTGGTTCGAACCCGACCTGTGCCTCTCGACTTCCCCTGTCTAGGCCTGGACAGCCTGGCAGTATCCCCTCCCCGGTGCTTCCTTAGGATGGTATGGCAGCTAGGTATGTTTTGTGTATGTGATGGACTGTCCTAAGGCCAGTGATTAGACCAGCACCCATAAGATTTTCTCAGTTATCATGCTGCCGACCCTCCGAATCATCGGTCGAATAAGGTTATGCATTTGAATGTAACCAGTCGAACCACATCTAATGGCCCATACTCACCGATTTTCCCGTTTTCGATGAACAATGCCATAACGGCATGGTTGTTAGCTGACAAACTGAAATTAACAGATATCTGCTGAAGTGACTATAATGGATACTAGTGGTGATGATAATCAAACGTCGAAAGTTACCCGGAGGAGTTTTCTCCAATAATGTGGCAAAACAGATGCGAATATTAGCTGAGAATGACTAGTATGTAGAATGTTCCTAGCCTTTGGAGACTGGTTTCCCACTCACGTCACAAGTTAAGATATGTCTTCATCGTTTCGGGTACATGTATATTAACCTGAGGGCTTGCCATTTCGATTAGTTCAACGGACACTTTTGTATGAAAGGAAAAATACCGCTCTATCGAAGTTGAATTGTACAGCCGATTTGGGGTGTGATACGTAGACGTCTAAAAGTTCACCACTAATTGTAGAGTTTATGTCGCTTTACTCATAATCATATCGAATTTCATTCGACATTATCTTCCCTCGGTCACCATAATTAAAACAATGGAACGAAATGGGAACTACATGGACGCGGGTAGAACCCGTGCTGAAATGGTAGCCTCTTTGAAAAGGCTGGTTTTCATTTAAGGAGAGAATACCAATAATTCGTAACTCTTTCTAGGATCACCACATAGATGCAACTCGTTACACCATGTGATCATTATGTCACCTCACTTTGTTATTTCTTTGTTCTCACTTCATATCTTTTTAGGGGATGTTTGGTGATTCCCGTGAAGTATCTGATTCAATGGAACATTTACTAAATACCAAGAGGGTATGTTTTTTATTCACGGACCTTATTGTTCTGAAAGTTCACCCTATATTGTTTCTGGGTCCGGTACCGTTCCGTTCGCAAAACATTTCGCTGTCGAGTACTGCGAAGGGAAATACTCCTGGTTTCAGGATTCTTTCCCCTGGGGACTTTGTTAATGGGTATTCGAGGTTTTCGTCCCACATCTACTTCATTCAGCGATAAATCAGGGTGTTAAACATTCTTCTATGTATGAAGTTACACCCTGAAAGATAAGTTTCCAAGGGGCGGGGTTCAGTCGTTCTTAGGTCGACAATCGTTTGTACTGAGTCTGTTTGTCAGTGTGCGATACATGTGAACACATGGCATTCGCAAACTCGCTTATCGCAAGTATTGTTGGTTGGGTTGTCGCAGATGGGTGCTAGCGTCGCCAGCAATACCATCAGGTGTCGCCACCAGTCGGGGCTCTCGTTTGCGAGTATTCAAGTTTTATGGGTACATGGAGTCTTAGTGATTCTGTCCTATTTCCTGGGTCCTGATCATCATGCGTTTGATGTGTTTCCACTTAAGTAAAGTGCACGTTTTCAACCTCTGATGTGCTGTGGTTTAGCCAGCTGTGTCTCAGAATGACTGTATCAACGAAGGTAACATGCACTTAAAACGTTTGGCGCAATATTCTGAGTTGAAGAACTTGCGGCTGATCAACAGCGTAATTGTTTCGGACTTAAGCAGCATTTGGCGCTGCTCATTCATCACTCATCATGTGGCACATAGAGGTACATCCTCTCAAATGTGGGGTTGACGTTTCTTGAGTAACTATTCTTGTGAGCTACCCACAATTTTTCGGTTGTCTGGGAAGAATTGGGACATCCACCTGAAACAACTCCAGCTTCTGTCCAAAAACCCGAGTGAAGCCAAAACTCATTGAAAAAGGCTTCTTAATAGACTTACATGTTGTTCACATCTTGTGAGAGTGCGTATCACGATGTAGTTGGTGCTCGGTGGCGGATACAAGCACTCTGGCGATGTCATCCTATTGGTGAAGCCAATCTATGCTGAAAAGCTTTTGCAAGCCTTTGAACCAAGCCACTGAACAACGCCATCTTGCGGCGGAATGGATCGACCCAAAGCTGTCACCTTGTCGTGGTGGTCGGACTTCAGTTTTGCAATGATGCTGTGGGCTATACTGGCTGGAACTCAGTTCCCAAAAGTTCAACGCTGTCAGAAAGACCAGCGGGGAGCAACCCAACGAAGAACACCGAGTCCCCGGGCTACGAGTATTCCGTCTGGAAGTGAAGTCGTGCTATCCTCTGCGACAGGGGGCGTTTTTTCCAGGCGACCAGTGTGTCCGCACACTGCGATCACGTAACGGTTGACTGTGACCGCTGTCGCATCATTCACTATGGTCAAAGAGTCTGGTGCCGCTCAAAAAGCACCGGCTGTGCGCGGCTGCCCTAACAGTGAGACAGTAATGCTTTACTCCTTTCGTTCTCGGGCCAGGCCGGCCCTCTACAGACAAGTGGGTCAGACTATTGATTCATTGTCTCCGGGAGAAATCCTTTAAGAAAACTCCAACTACCGCTGTCTCGCGGTTCAGACTCTTGAGTCAGAGGCTAGACACAGGGTTCTAGAAAAAACCCATATCCCCTCACTGCCTTGTGGATAACACTTTCGAATCAAGGGCTCAAGGTGGAGTGCCTCAACTAAACCCTCTTCGTCGGCCTGGGCAACCGGGAAGTATAATTTTCCCTTTCAACTGTTCGCTCATCGGCCTAGCCCCACACTCCCTGCCCATTTGTCCAACAATGCAGTGCAAACAAACCCTCTTCCAACCCCCTAGCAAATATTCGGCATTTAAACCTTCACCAAGAAAAATAAACCAAAATAATCACTTCCAAATGTCAGATCCACATTGCAGCTTCTAATGTCTGTAGTCTACGTCGAACTGGGCAACAGACATTGCTTGCGGAGATCTTACTTTCCCTCCCTGTCAACTTATGTTGTGTCTCCGAAACAGGCATACAAGATCCCACTTCGGTTGTGCTCCTCCAACTGCTTAAAACGAGCTCAGATGTTCCGCATTGTACTCTTCAAATTTCTGGTGATCCTACAGTGTCGGAGTTGCACTCAGCCCGAAGGCTGAAGGCGCCTTGCTGAACTGGATCCCAGTAAACAGTCGTGTTTGAGCTGTGCGGTTGTCTGGCTCAATTAAGATTAACGCGGGTCAATGCGGTAAAAGGTGTTTGTTTGTCGTATCAGCATACACTGCAACCCCTGTCTAGGCTCAAAATGGCTCAAGTGTTTGGAACGCGAATTTACTCACTGGAATATCCGTGGTTCGGACCCGACCTCTGCCTCTCGACTTCACCTGTTTATGCTTGGTCAACGTGGCACCAACCCATCCCTCATGATTCCTTCTGTTGTCATGGTAGATAGACACCGAAAGGGTGTTACAACTGAGTGATTTTTTTTGTTTTTATTGACAAATTTAGAGTCGATGCTGACCTTACGGATAATTGGGATCGGTTTCTTCAGTTGTGTGCGGATCATCGTCTGTTCCTGGTCAGCACCAACTTCCAACACAAACGCACACCTCGAGTTACTTTGAGGCCACCTACCACAAGACAGTCGTGGACTCAGTTGAACCATGTAGCTATCAGTTACCGATGGAGAGTATCAGTTAAGGATTGTCGTCCTTCTGGGGTGCGCAACTTGACTCTGGTCACGTCATCATGCGGGTTCGGCTAGCGCTTCGCTTTCCGCCATCGTTACGCGTTCCAAAGGAGAGCAACTCCGTTCGTCATTTTCGACAGGCTTCAGTAAATGAAGAATATCGAATTGGTTTGACTGGAAAGCTACTGGAAGCGCACAGACATGCATATGATGAAGATTGTTTGAATGCTATATGGACGCGGGTTAAAGAAACAATGCTCGCAGTTTTCAGAACTGTTTGTCCAGGCCCCCTGACTCGACTAAATGAACACTGGATATCGTTGAGATCAACAGATCTTATTGCTGCCAGAAAGGTGATACCAACAACTAGGGGTAATCAGAAATTTGAAGAATGACAGAGAACGGTGGTGGATTTCGAAGGCCTAGGAGATGGAGAAAGCTTTCGCCGCAGGTGACACGCGCGTTGTTTCAACTGATTCGGTCAACGGGTCAAAAGAAGGAAAGTGTCAGTGAGACAATATGCTAAAAGGACAACAGCAATTCACTCCATCTATCTCCATCTTGAACGATGGGCTGAACGGTTCACCTGGCCTCCTTCAACATAACCAAGGCGGCCCGAATGGAACATTGACACCAATCCACCATCAGCAACCGAAATCCAGCCTGAGATTTCAATCCTGAAGCTCGATAAGGCACCTGACCCGAACGGTCTACAGCCCGCCCTCTTCAAAGAAGGTGGCGTGATTCTGGCGGATAGTCTGACAACCATACTGCAGGGGATGTGACACGAAAACAATGCCTGCTGAATGGAGCTCCTCCACCGCCATCCAAGTTTTCGAAAAGGGCGCAAGAATCATCTGAAAACCATCGAGCATCCGTCGCATCTTAGATGCTCTCTGGTATTATTTTGCGCAGGTTGATGGATTAACGGAAGGTGTCAACGTTTGACCATCGGTGTCTACGAGGCATTGGTCAGGTCTGGTGCGAACATCGATTAGCCATTATGGTGTAGGCCAGATGGTCTCAGGAAGAAGGTACTCTCCAGCGATGGATGAATTACACTGGTTAGGACATGTCAAAAGACCGCCTGTCTTGCAGAGCTCTTTTCGCCCAGCCCTGTGCTGAGTGGTAGCGACCGAGAGGTAGGCAGCTTATGACCTAGCAACGAAGTAGGAAAACACTTACCAGTAAACTTAGTCGGGTGGGCAACTGCCGCCTGCCTGAATGGGGACCTCGGGACTCAAAACTCCATTGGTTGATGACATTGGCAGAAATGACCCAATCGCGCCGTCAGTGGCTTTGGTGTATCAAAGCTATCTCCTTCAATGCGCAGCCACCCAATTTCCACGCCTTCGTCTCCAAGGCGTGGTTGTATGTCTCACACTCCGGTGGAACCAGGGTGCCTATGGTACACGGTTTATAGCTGATAAACTGAATTGATTGAACATAAGTGTTTACCCTGTGATCTACCTTCATGGACTTTTCGTCAAAGGACCGCAGTATGCTAGCCTGTAGACAACACTGTTCACTTCTCGAAGTGTTTCGTGGAATGGAGCAAACGACAAATGCTAGTAAACGAAAATACGCGCCACACGAGGACGATGTGTCCTTTGTAGGCGAGGTACAGCCTTACCGTCATTGTTTAGACCAGCAACGTGCCCCGAATGTGATCAGGATCTCTCGACAGGTGAGTGGTGTTGCATATTTTCATTATTATATACCACTTATGTTTGTTTTTAAAACACAAACCTCCTTGCTTGGTTGTTGGTCTGTTTGCCGAGCATGGCAGTTGGATTGCATAGTGTTCGGTAAGATACACTGCGTGGTAATTCGTTTTGTCTCAGGATTTCGTAGAGAAAGCGAAGTTGCTGTCTTGTGGAACCCAGTCGACCTGCAAAAGTCTCCCATCGGTGAACTGATTTGAGCACATAACGCCCGAAGATAATAACAATGTGGAGTGTAGTTAGTTCGAGTGCGCAGCAATTCACCCGAGCTACCTGCATTCTACAACGTTGCCAAAACCTACTTGCCTACTGTTCAGTTTATCCAGATGAAGGTAGTGTTTATTGAACTGAACCTTTCGTCATCCTGCTATCCGCCTTTTCATAACCATTCACTTGCATGCAATTTCGTCCTACTTCCTCCACAGATCTGTTGGTTGGGAAGTACTGTGTCTCGATTTGTACACCGTCGCCATATTCGCCTTTGGTTGGTCCACCTCAAACCTGGAAACGGGGAGACCTCAACCCCCAGGAGTGGTCAACAGACTAATCAGGTCGTAAATAAAGGCGATGATTCGAGCAATTCCCAATCCTCATACCTTGAACCCAAGCGGAAGCGCGCTAGGTAGGCCCCTTGAGCACCAGTCATTGTTACAAATGCTTTCCCTACCACTTAATGCACTGTAAAATAGNCTGTGATGTTTTCTCTTGAGATGGGCGACTAATGGTCTTGTGCACTTTTTCACAAAAAAATTCAGTGAGTGAGAACTCCGTGAGTGTTTCGGTTAGCTTTTGTCAGGATGCGGTTAGATTTCTTATGTGAACCAAATAGTGTTACTGGTTTCCTTGATTTGGGCACCGCGCGTCCCAGGAATTTCCAGAGTGATCCAAACCGACAGCGTTCTAGTTGAGCAGTCCTGATTATCTGATCAACAGTGTGATATGCTTATACGTAAGCAGGATACTACATCGGTTTTTCTTTGCTCACATCTTTCACGTTACGTTAACTGCCAACTCAGTTTTCTTCTCAAGTTAGATACCCATGTAACTTTTGTAACTTTTGTAACTTTTGATGGAAACCTCAAGGGACTTCCTTTGCACGGCCCTAGGAACTAACTGTATCAAATGACAGCGGCTGAGTAAACGTGCAGTCTCAGTACGATGACACTTGTAAGGTTAGTGAAGTCTACTCGATATGCCATGTCCGGTTTCGCCCCTTTGGGACTGATTACTTACGTGTTGTTTCCTAAGTATCATTAGTCGCAAAATTTCCAAACTAGTAAATAGTATCGTAGCTAGCAAGAATGGTTCCGGAGCCCGATACATGGCGAAATGAAACATGTGGTCGGTTTTCATGCAACATATACAGCTACAGAATCTTCTAAATGAAAGTTTCACTCTGGCCGAATTTAGCCTCTCAGGTTATCACCGCCTCCATTTGTAACTGGGTGCCTGGATTCTGCTTCTCCGTATCTTTTGATAACTGAATTCCTTTTGTTGATTTCTTCCAGAGTCGATGACATAGAGTCTGGTTCCCCTGGAACCACGTCCACCTCCCTAGTGGAACCAAAGGACTACCCCTCGGAGTCATCCGAAATGGGCTTCTTCTTTCCTGAATGCTGGTGCGCCGAAGATGGCCGGCCGAAACCACGAGCACTCTGTGGCTTTCTGCAAGCTCTCATTGTTCGTTTGACAGATAGTGGTGGGACTAATTTGGCCAGTTTCGCAGGTCAATACCAACGCCTATTCGGACAACAAGCCATTCGGCGTCTTGTTTTCGTGAGTGTATCAACTAGTCTTTTTCGGTTTACGCTGACCCGATTTGCCTCAACCTGTCGGGTTGTATAAGTCCAACACGAGGTGACGCAGCTGCATTTGGTTGCTCACTGTGACCATTTTGCATCAACGGGTTAGAACTACCTAAACCAAGGCCCATTTTCTGATCTGGCATACCTACATACTTTGCCCAAGCTACGCCATCTCGTGCAAAATTTCTTCGTTTCACAGTAGGAGGTATTTGGTTGTAGCTTGGCAATGCGTGGAATCGCCAGAGCAACACGTAAAAAGCATATCACATTCGAGTGACTGGGACACTGGCAAATATCCAACCATCACCTATCAAATAAGGATGTCTTTCGTTGCGAAAGTTAATGGTGGGTGCCAAGAGAATACGATCGCTACTATGCTCATCTTCGGCCCTTCGGTGCTGGCCTCCACGTGTTTCTTCCTCACAGGTTGAACGCTGCAGGGACTGGTACGTCCTTAATCACTTACTAGTTATCGCTCAGCTAAACTAAATCTTTCGTTTTATGCAAGGTTCTTGTTGAGCGTAGTTCGCAAGGGTGCTGGAACATTCTTGTTGATGATCAGTTCGATGCCTAGACCTGTTTATTTCAGGGGACAACTAAACCTTAAGCATGAGAGAAGGATTATAAAGGTTCATGGAAGTTCCTGAGGCATCTAAGTCACATACACATGCTGCAAATTTATGTTGAATCTTACGGTGGAGAGTGCGGACTATGATCCCACCATGTCAAATCGGTACGCTAACTGATGACTTGCACGTAAGTTTGCGTATAGTACGAGCATTTTGAGCTACCATCCTGCATCTGCCTAGAAACGCTGCAGTGGTATTCCATTCTTATTGACAATCCTCAGCAGTATACATCTAGCCGATTTCGAGGAGAACTCGAACGGACAAGTTCAACGTCCAATACTAATCTTCGTGTTCATTCACCGGTTAAAAGTTAACGCCTTCCAGCGCTAAACTATGTCAGTTCTACAATGGATCTCGCGGTGATATTCAGTCATTCAAAGTACATTGTTTCGAACGGAATTAGGGGTGATTTTGAACATACACCCGAGTTCATATTGTGGTAAGAATAGGCGTTCGCTAATGACATTAACGTACCTACTGATCGCTGAATCTTCGTGAACACTGCTCCCCGCTGAACTCTTCCCCTTCTGTGTCGCAGTGATATTTGTAAGATTCCTCAATAGTTAGTTGAATTGTCCCAGTAGGATTCCTCTCTACTCAGAGGTATCACTTGCTCCAAGGGACTGAACAGCTAAATATTGAAGCATTTTGTTACATTATGATTATACGGAGATTGTACGAAATCGGTGGAGCGTACATCATTACCTGGATACTCACAACATAGACAAAGGGATGTAACTTGATGCTGCGCTTATACAATCTCGCGAACCTGTCCTTCTCGGCCACACTGTAAAGACTTCATCCTGTTTCTTCAACACGTGACACAGTCCCCGCATGGTAGTCACTCTAGTGTTCCTCTTCGAACTTAGACACTCGACCACACAGCAACAGACCAATGCTTTGTTACACATCCAGTGGCGGATGGTTGTAAGGCGTGTCGCGTATGAAACGATCTCATCGGATTTTGTGTTATGGAAACAATAAGTTATTTGTCAGCGATTTAACCGGAGCCTGAGCATTGAATTCGCCATATGAAGCTCACGGAGCAACCAAACACAGCTCTTCGAATCATGGTTTCACATCAGCAATGTTGCTGGTGACGACTTGGATCAATTATCGCATGTGTCACGGATAAAGCGGTCGCAGTCAGGTGTGACTGCAGACTAATTTCAACTTTTGACTAGTCCTATATTTGAGCACGTGGGGAGATCGGTACCCAAGGTAAAAATGGACAAAATTGTCACATGATGCACGTTCGTCGATCTGGCACAACGTCCTTCGACGTTGGTTTCTATATCGCGATAAGTGGCTGCGAGGTCCTCTTATGATCAGATCAGCATGAGTTGGTTGGATAGTAAACCTCGCAAAACGATTTTGCGGGAAACGTAAGTACTACCTCTGATCTCACCGGTAGTTTGCTCTGTAATTACATGAATATGGAAGCGGTTGAGACGTTATTTAATAGAACCCAACGTAAGTGTTTTCTGTAGGGCCTGGGTTGGCAAAGGATCACAAACTGGCTAACATGATTCGTACATTACTCACTCTGAGATTTTATTGCAACCCGATTTATCCCCATGAATTCATTATCGAACCCGACAAAATAAAGTCACATTGTTTTAATGAATTGTTTTATCGATCGGTGGGTGGTTTTATCGCCGCAGCCGTTCACTCGACTACATTGTCGTTGCCATGGTCTTAAAGATGAACTGCACCATGAACCGGATCATGAATTCGTTCTGCTTTGCATGCAATCGAAGTGTGACTAGGCAGCGAGTGTTTTTGACGGTTTTGAAATAAAGCAGTCGCTGTAGCGTGTAGGTGTGTGTTTGGACTCACATTTAAGTAAGCAGTCTTTTGCCTGATAACGGTTGTCGGAACACGGGAGAACTTACACGTGATCACTGAGCTCTGTTGTGGCGTTTGCATCTCTGCATATGGTTGTTTTTTTGCATTGGCGAGTGTAAACAGGTAAAATGTAGATCGAAGCTGGAGTTCGTTCCTAGGCAGCTGTTTTTTTCGCGAATGCACACGTCTGAGAAATTCTTCTGTCGATTTGGTTCTCTTTCATTCAATGGACGCGTTTTTTGAAGGGTGGCTCGATTTGATGCAGTCGTAAATTCATACCCGTACCTGTTCCCGCATACATTTCTCGCAGTGGCTCTCCGACCTTGGTGCCATCCGACTGTTCCGAATCACGCGACAACCCAAGCCTTCTTTGTTTTCCCGACCACCTACATATACGGTTTCAGGTAAGACTTTGTTTCTCCCCTTCCATTCAATTAAAAATCCCTATTCATGGAACAGTGGACAAAGGGAAGCACTTATAGGAATTCCCCACCAGATACTGCATAGGTGGTATGTACGCCACCCCGGAGCAAGGTCTTCGGTTATCAACATTCTGGTCGTTGTTTGTCCCTTACTCATTGTATTACGTACAATTGCTCCGATATTGGCTCGATTCCCTGTTAACAGCCGTTGATCAGTTTGAATTATCATGTTCTTATGAAAATAGATAATGCAATTTCATGTGGACACTCATCGAATCCTAGGCCGTCCGTCATTCCTTCTGCGTCGTGCTTGCGTAACTGACAGCATCAGTCGGATCTTTGGGAACTCAGAAAATGCAGGTTTTCGGGTTTTGAAGAATTTACTCACCAAATTTCAAACGGTTGGCACCGGTGTGGAACACATGAAGGGTTGATACACCGAATTACGTTTTGGAAGCTAACATGGATTGGCCGCGTATACGGTCCTCCAGCTTCATACATTATATCTTTGATACAGTGAAGTCACCCACGCTGCTGCCAGATTTGTTCGCGTAAAATCACATGTTCCAACTAACATTGCGTGCAGATTGGTCTGTTAAATGCAAATACGAATAGATATATTTGTTTGCATGACAGTCGTAACCTTTTACTGGATTGTTCTGCACCGCATTATCCATGTCCCTATTCATAGTGGTCGTTCATACATTTCAGATGATCTAATCCTGGCCTCTCCTGAAGAGCTAACCTTGGTTCCGACACCGAACTGCATATCAATAGTGGGCGAATTTTGTGACAAATATCTAATGGATGCTGGAGATGAGTACACTGTTTCTTAATCCTTCATACTTACTTATTCTCGTCGTACGAACTTCCTATTCCTCAGTGTGTACAGACCCCATGTATTATATTTAAATATTTTTATCCAAGACGAATGCATACTTTTATTAATAATGCAATACACATTATCAAGTGCATTATTCGTTATCCGTACCACACAATCTGGGAATGAGAAAGGACGGGTCCATTTTGTCGAATGGTGCTAGCAACAGCAATGGTATTCGCGTGAATGGTGTTCTTCCTTCTGTCGTCCGTTCACAGTAGGTGCAGACAACAACCTATGATCTGTACGTATTGGGACTTATGCCCACTCCCGTAGAGTTCCTTCACGTTCCGTCGTATGTTATCCATGACCAGTTCGTTTAACACCGCGTTTGTCAGCGCAGTCCAGACGCCCATGAATTGCTTCGTATGTATGAGTGAACACGAGGAAGAGCGAAATGCGCACACTTTCAGTTTATTTGATCTCTAAGGGTATTTTACTGTTCGCTTTATCTGAGTTTCACCATTGCTTTAATTAACTCACGACAGCTGTTCCAATTTTCGAGGATGTGTTATAAACAGGCCAGGGATGACAGCTCCTCACCTCGAGGCTATATTCAAAACAAGAAGGCTTATGTTGAATTATTTTACAAGGGTCGTCATTAGTCTATGGAAACAATGTTACACTTTTATAAACTGTCCACGAATTTTGGGCCTGCTTGCCTTTAAGTGGACAGCACAAAGATTCTACTTATTTGTTCGAACCTTTTCACGCGCCTAAAATCTTGTTGCTGATTTGGCGTTTTCCATGAAACCCACCGCGTCTTTGTCTGAAACATGAGTGCTACTGTGCTACATATATTTGCTGTGGAAGGAATTGTTCCAGTGATCTTATTCTAGACGGGCCTAACTGCGTGATAATCATTCACATCGCTAAACTGGTTGGAAAGCAGAGCACATGAAACGGACGTGAGGAATTAGAGAGCCAAAAACGAGATAGAAACTTATTTGTCAAAGCTTGCTTGACAGAGGTCTAATTTGAGTTGCTTGGATACGCCGTTAAACGTGTGTGAATTGCCAGAAGAGTACTTTTAAGGGACGGGTGTAAGCGTTGGAATCGCAACCAGGCTAGTCCGTCAAACGAACTATGTTCCTCGTTTCGCTTTGTTTCTTGTGACGTGTGCCCCTGTATGGACCAATTAGCAAGGCAGCAAAGCGACTGATTATACGGAGGTTCACGCACAAACTGGCGTAGTTTTAGAGAAAATGACGGCTATCCGTGTTCTGAGAAGACGCGCAGTTTCAGCATTCGAGATCACGAAGAGAGGGTAACTTACTCCTTAGTATTCGGTGTCAGGACAGTATGACTCGTGCAGCAGCAACCGTCATCTAGCTCCATATTGTTTATGATTTCTCAAAGATTTTTTGAAGAAAGCTGATGTGCTGCTCGCGACCAGCTTCGGCAATGAGGTAATCCCGAACAGCCCTCCAGAGTGTGTGTTTAGAAAAACCAGTAAATGCATCTTTATGATATCCGGTGTAATCTCGCTCACTTTGTCAACATGCTATATGAAAAGTGAAGTGCTTTGTCCATTATGTTGCACAGTGTAAAAAACACGATATATGAATAAAGTAGTATCCTCGGGCTAACAAGCTGAGAAAGTTGCACGTTTCTTTGAAAAAGAGTATAAACTCTGATTGTTCCATTCGAATTTTGGCCCTGAGCGTTCGTGTCAGGCTCTCTCCTGCAATAAATTTTCTCATGTATCGTTTTCGGAAAAGTTTGCTAACATTCGGTAGATTTATTGCTGGGCGACGTTTCGCTTATGACACAAAAGTTTCGTCAGGCCAAGTTACTAGGTTACGACGTTGGTCGAGATATAAGTCGTCAGGACAACCAGCAATAAATCTACCGATTGTTGCTAAACTTTTCAGAAAACGATAACTACTCAATCGGTCCCAAGCATTTTTCATCTGATTTGTATCATTGGAAGATACGATTTCGATGTGTCTGTTTCAAGTTCCATACTTCCTGTATCACCTGTAGGTTGAGAGAGTGTGCGCAAGACAGTAACCCCACATGCCAAAGCATGCTCTTTCCGCACACAGATGCATGGAGCTGGTCACTCGGTTGCACCCTAATAACATTCCAAAGGTGAAGATCAGCCATATGAATAAAGAGAACACAAGCAAACGAAGAAGTGCCACTAGGACGATATTGGGTGGTAGAAGACGACTGCGAAGGCGGAAGTAATGGGGTTCGATATAGGTTGCACTAGGCAGACAGAGTCCGGAGTAGAGAAAAATAGAGAGTCTTCGTGCTCACCCTACCAGATCTGATCTTATTTGTGTGGTTGATAACCCAGGTCATTGAAACACGCTGGAAGAAACGGAGTGAAGCTTGCCCTACTAGGATTGCGTGCTCTGATGAAGGGGTGATCATGTATGACGGAAGCTGGCAAGGAATCCGCTCAGGAATTCATCTAGCATATCAGATGCAAGCTACAGGCATTTGGTCGCTGGGCTGTTCTTCGAGATTCTTTACTCAACCCCGCACTGAAAATGGGACTTTGGTTGGTGACGAAACGTTTGCAATTCAACTGCCAGAGTCGGCGAACAGACCAACAACCAAGCAGCGCACCTGAGCTACCTATATTCCACAGCAATGTCAATAAAAAGCGTGTCTTGACATTACCTATAGGGTTTATCGATTGTGGAAAAAAGCGTTGTAAACGGTACGCATATGAGACATGAAACCAGGTTGTTCAAAGTAGGCCTAAAATTCGCCTTTATCGTACCTAGTATACCGTCTCCTGAGCCCAGTGCCATTATATTCAGGCGTTAGGTTTTCACGTTAAAGACAGTATGAAATACTGCTAACCAGATAACTGATGAGTTGAAACTAAAATCTGACGATGTATGTTGTCGCAGAAATATTCATGGAGCGTCAGTGGTGAGCAAAGGGTGCTACTTTCACGACTCTCATTGTTTACGGACGTCTGCGAATATTTCGTAATTTTCAGACAAAAAGCCTATCACGGATTATCAACTAAAATAATGGACGGAGTAATGAAGTAATTAGTACAGTGTACATCATTCATTGGTCCGTTCGTCAGGTAATCACGTGCCTAGGCTTCGTGGTTTTCGCGTATGGAAAGTCATCCAAATAGGTTAGAATGACCAGGATATGTGCTCTAGATATCCTATGGGAAAATATTCGGGTCAGCTGTGAAGGACAGACATCGCTACTACAGAATTTCTTTGGAACCCATGCAGAGAGACCTGTGCGGAAAGGAGTTTAGAGTCTTCTGTTGCAGATTCTGACAGACATCGGCAAATAAACTGCCTGTCTACGCGAATCTACTTAGGAAGAACACCTTTCGCTGTCGCACCCAACGCAATACCCATTTCACTGAGGTCGTGGGAAACCGTTGCAATACTTTAAAATATTGAAACAGCTTTCCATTGAACTGAAGTTGCATATCGAGTGTGCACTGCGGTAGTAATCCCTTTGGTACGATGCTAGGAACACTCAATTCTATGTCATTTTCTCTCTTGCAACTACGGAGATCGTAGATGGTTTCTGTGAATTTTGGACAAAACGAGGATACCATCATGTTCTCGTCTATATTCCCTTCCTTGATCGAGTTTACGAATGTAAACTTGTCTCGGGGGATATACTGATAAATTCTACAACAAACTAACCCAATAAATTTAACTGTCCACTTGGTTGCGTCATGATTCTAGCTTGTTAAACGGCTTCTAGGTTTCGAAAAATACAGTAGTGTCCTCTACGCAGACTCGTTTATGCAAAAACCCTGAGGTTTCATATGACTAAATGCAAGGTTAGGGTATTATGCCATGAGGATCACTATACCGCCCTTATTAACTTGGGGCGTTTTTGTCTTATACGCTGAAGAAGGTATCGGTTTTCGAGGAGAGTTGTTTTAACCTGTGAAAGCGTCTGCCTGAGCAGGATGGGACTTTGGTTCAACCACCCCTCGCGTACTTTATCAGTAGCCGGTTGCCAAAGGTCTGTATAAGTTTGCTCATATTTCCAACACCGAATGCCGACCACTGCCTTTTTCAGTACAACCTAGTTCTTCATAAGAAACAGTGTTTCTTCTTGGGCGGATGTCAGTTTGTATGGCTTCATGGAATTCTTCCGGAGGTCACGGTACTATTTAGGATTGATGAAGGTACCTAATTTTAAGTGCATTGCCAGTGTTCCCTGTGATGTAGTCAAGCTTAGACTGACTGATTGTCACGAACAGTCGGCCACTAAAGCATGCTCAACTATCTTACCACTTCAAATCTCCAGATTCGCAGGCTCACAAAATCCGAGTACCTTCCATCCACTTGTGTTACTCAAGTTAGAGGACAATTCATCATGCTGAGTTCACTGTGGGGAGATAGTTGATGCCCCTGATGCATCAGGCAAGCCACTTTACGGAAAACTCCGATGCGAGATACCACAATGGTAAACGGTATCGAAACTAAGCACGTTAAGTTTGCACCCACAAAGTACACACCAGTGCAGAGAACGAAAAAAATTCACAGCTCTCAGCATAACGTGTAAGCACAAATGCAGTCATCTGAAACAGGCAAACGATATAGGCGCTATTTTCCGAGTTTGCGTCAATAAACTTTCACCTTTCAGCTGGCATATTTTACCACCATTGCGCATCATTTTCCTCCATTCAGCATGGCTTTTAGTCAGCTTGGGACCCCTTGATTTTCGCGTGTGTTTCAAATGCGAAAGGTCTCGGAGCACTCGCTCGGCATGCGTAACACTCAAATGCTAACTGCCGGACGTTTAACAACAGACTTGCCATGGTCCTCGCTCTCAACGACTTCTGTTTGGCCCTGTCATATAGAGTGTATGGTAATTCCTTGGCCTTGACGGAAATGGACCCGAAGTTATCAGTAAAGAAACTGATCAAGCGATGTTTGCTGCAATCCGTCTGCTGCGTATTTCAACATTGTAAGCGAAAGTGATTACTCTGCTGAACAACCATAGAGAGATTTGGTATATTACCACTCACGTTACTCATAATTTGCTATTATGTGTAGCATATCCCGTCAGTGATTAACTGTGAAGCACGGATGCACTGCAGTCACAACAGTGACACATTCGGCACCGCAGATGC